TACATGTACAGCTTTTCACACCAAACACATAAAATGGACAAGTGGAAATGTACTCTGATCACTGCAAAATGACAACTGCAAAGAGAATTCAGAAACAGGACTGTATGTGAAGGGGGTGTAAAGGATGCAGCTCAGCTAATGTGAAATTCAAAGAGAAATATCACAGCCGTTGAAGCTTGTGATGCAGAACCAAGGAAAAAAGAGCAATCATTGAGATTGTGAAGGAAGCTTCGAAATGACCTCTCTGGAAAGCAAATGAGTTTGAACCTCGATGGCAAAGCAGGAATCCGTCTTTCATTGCTGCTCCTTTCCTGGTGTGCATTACAAAGACGATAGGATATTTCAGATGGTTTATTAAGCTAAAAAAACATCTTGAGAGAAAAAATAATCTCAAATACAAGCAAAACCAGAGCAGAGGTCATCCAACAAGCCACATAATCAATCCAAGAGGGTGATGAATAAGGAAAAGAGTTTAGCTTTTAAAATTCTTTCCCTTGCTAGCTTACTTCCTGATATCACACAATGATGCCATTCATTTAAAAACGAATCTTGCTATAACAGGAGCTTCAATTGCCTTGTGGGAACAGGAATTGAGCTCCACCTTTACAGGAGCAGATTTTATTTTTTGAAGCTTCGTGCGAGGCTAACATGGGTCCCTTGCTCACTGTCGTTCTTTGAAAAGCCAATCATCAAGCAGACTGGGCAAGCCTGAGCAAGCAGAGGACGTGCAATACACTCATACAGTAGTATTTGAGTCTGAACACACTGGTCCATGAAGATGTTTAGGTATAAAGTTGTAGGATCCTGCAAATCCTGAAATATATGGCCAGGGACACAGGCTGATATTAGGTGACAGTTTCCCATCTAGCACTTATAGCAGCAGCCTGCTAAAAATATCTGGGGCCTTAACACCTAGATCACTGTGTATTACTTCCTAGGAGAACCTCTGGGGGTGGCAGAGGGCTCCATTCACAACATGATCCCATCCTTCAAGAGTCTATAAGAACATTAGAAAGTCTGCAAACTACAGGAGGTCTTTCAGGCCAACAAGTCTGCTTGGTAGATAGTAGCTAATTTATCTGAAGAGCTCATACAATGATTTCTTGAAATAAGCCAGGGCACAGCTTCAATAACCATAGGGATGGAAACTCAGTTTTATAAGATCACTTTATTGGCCACATACATGTCTTGTATTAGGAATTTGTCTTTTTGCATACCCCAACTTGCTCATCATGAGACACACAGACAGGGAGAGAAGCTTGGGGTCAAAGCACAGGGTCAGAGATCTATATTGGGTTAAGGGCCTTGCTCAGGGGCCCAACGGAGTAGGATTCCTCTGCAGTAATTGCAGTAAACAATGCCAATGGATCCTTAAAACACCGCTAAAGACAAAATGCAGTGTTGACACAGAAGAAAAGAGTTCTCTCTTGTGCTTTACAAAATCACAGGCTTACACTGTGTGTGCAGATGAACAGGAGCACTGACGTGTTTCTGACATGTAGGGAAACATTAGAGGTTTCTACAACAATACTCCAAATTGATTGAAATAATCTGTTACTGGAGCCCTCACGTTAGCCACCAGTAATTGCCCAGATAAGAAGAGTGAGTGTCCTTGTGGTCATTGGACACAGACCTATTAAGGTTTGCGGAAGATGAAAATTTAAGATTTGCTTTAAGTGAAATAAAGGACCAGCAGAAGTTTTGAATTTTAAGAGCAGACACTGTTCGAATCCAGCTTTCATGTGTATGCCAAAATGGAAGCTCTATGGCATTTAAGAGTTTTTTTAATCGTTCATGCATGCAACAGCTCAAATTGCACTGCTTGGTCATAAATCAAAGAAACAACTGATGAAGAATTCATAGACATTAGATTAAGATCAAGGACTGTTTTCATGTGGAGATTAATACATTGTCAGTTTGCCTAGAGTCAAGCAAAATAATGTTTTCTTTCATACAAATGTCTTTGTTTTATGAGAAAGCAATAATACAGCTCTAGACAGATATATTTCCTTCAATATCTACAGAGAGGAAAAAAAACAATAGAGATTTCAGCGGGGTAATGAATTCAACAATTTCCTTTGACTCCTGGATTTGACTCTTCATTTCCGTCTATCCCAAAAAAGGTTAAATAGCAGTGACCCAGTGGAGCAGATATTAAAACTGAAGGATCAGAATATGAGCCCTGACAAGGAGAAAGCATTTGCTGTCAGTTTTCTTTCAAAAAGATATAGATCCCTTGTGTAACTCTTCTATCACTAAGCTGTTATTGTAAGTTTGAAACAAAGTGAAGCCTCTTTCGGCAAAATGGATTTACTTAAACGGTGTAACCTAGAGAGCACCCCTGGGGTCATCCTGTTTACAAAAATCCCACGAATTGGTAAAGCTCAATCATTGACTCCAGAAAAGAAAGAAAACAAATGTATGTGGCTGTCTGTGGGACAGACACATGGCTGACAGGACATTTGAATGACTTGGGAATGTGCTCTGGGAATTCCTGTAGCCACAGTGCTCTGGAGGACTGGGCTCACTGCATGATTTCCAGAGACAAGTCTGGAGCGGATCTTTGCAGGATGTCAAGAATCTTGTCAAAGTCTACCCTGCATAGGTGAAAACATCATGTTTTCTTTTAAAGAGAATGTACACACACGAAGCAACATTTAATTGGCTTAAAAGCCCTTTTAAAACAGTGTGGTGCATCAACCAATTACAAGCATTCAGGAACAGCCATGAGAAGGCAACAGGAAAGGGACCAGTCCTTTTATACAGTACTGTACCTTGCTTTTGGGATCCATACAAAACCCAGACTGTTCTGTCTGTTATCACTGCCAGCCCCATGAGTCCTTGATGCTAGGAAAGGAAAAAAGAAATATGTTTTTGAAGAAAACTGTGTATCTACTAGGCATCTACTTCTTTCTCATGCAAAAAAAGGACTGTGTAGTGACGAGTCCCTCTTTTACAGTCCTTCTGCTGTGCATTGTGCCTCTGTGTTGAGTGGGGAAGTGGGTACATGTTGGGGTGAGACGCAGGAGTTTGTTGAAGTCTCTGTGAAAGGCCTGACACTGTGCATGACAGTGTAATGCAAACACGCATGGAATTTCATGGCAAGAGCCCACATGACAGCACTGAGCTAATATAATGGGTACCAGAGTCAATAGAATGTCATCTGAGAATACTAGCACGATTCCCAAGCCCAGTGCAGTTGAGGATTTATCATTTACTCCTTGGTATGATGGGTTACCTGTTCTTTACATTCTACCCTGTGATTCTTTGAGACCACAATCAGATTCTCAGTGTTTGTCTTGGACATACACACTGTTGTGCCAATATCCTGTGCCTTCAAGGTGATGTAGTGTATTAAAACATGTTTTTGGTACTGGTACCACTAACAACTGAGCTCTTGTTCTTAAGAAAATAAATCTGAGTGACTGGTCAGTAAAAAAATGATCAAAGTCATACCAAAAACATTTAATTTATATGTAAAATCCATATTCTTTATTTTTCTGAAAGCATGCATGTACTGTACAGTACTTTACAGTCTGAATTGAGTGTTATGTTTCTTTTGGTGCACAGTGTAGCTGTTTTGGTGACATAGAGTACGATTTTCCATGTGTTTGTTAAGAACCATCTGTGACTTTGAATTGGACCCGTGGAAAATAGTTTGCTGTCTTTTTTTGGAAACTGTTCGGTCCACTCTATCTTCAGATTTAAAGGGCTCTGTTTCCCAAATGTTTAAATGTGCTAGCATTCAACTAAGGAGTGCATATAGTAAACACAAGAAGGTTGTAAATATTTTCAGCCTCATCTCTTTAAAAACTCTCAGTTGTGTGTTTTATTGACTAGTTTGTTGTATTATATTGTAAAAACAATCTATGGAAGTGTTTTTTATCTGTACATTTTGACTGACTTATGGAGATAAAATGTATTTACTCCCATCTTTCAAGCTTTACTGTTCAAGTACATGGTATATGGGTTTCGAAGGTATTTAAAAGGACCCCCCACAGAATGCAGCAAATGTTCCAACTCTTTTTTGGAGTGGCTATGAAGGCAGCCCACCACAGTAGTAGAGTGTGGATTGTTTCCAGTTTTATGGTAAAATTATTGCTGCCTGGTACTTGCACTAGTTTATATGTCCGTGTCCTGAGATGTTATGTCCAATATGTTAGCTACTGTACACTGTATTGATGGTTTTATTCTTTCTCTCACTGCTTAACTTTCTGAGTTACAAGAATCTGGACGTTTTGGCCAGGTCTTTTGAAATGCTAAATTGTTCAATAAGGCTAAGTTTCAAAAGAATGTCATGTTTTGTACAATCATTTCCTATGGCACCAGGACAAGGAGTGCTTGCTTCCTTAATTGCTTCAACCAGTGCAACAGATTAAGAATAATTGTATTTTTATGTAGCTCTTGCAAGGCTAGAATTACATTCCCTCCTTGGGGACAGCACTAACAGAATTTAGGGTCAGGGTTAGGGTGAATGAAGACGGAGATAATACAGCTGCACCAAACGACAGCCATGTCTTCTATTCGAACATGAGTATCATGCAGGGTCGAAGAATGGCAGTCAGTAACTGGGCGGACTCTTACTGTACCTACACTCTGAGCGTAGGGCTACTGTCGAACCTTCCTGTGATAATGCAAATTGACTGGCGAGTTAAGTGCTTTACAAGGTGTAAATCGCTCTCATTCAGACACCTGTTGCTTTCTCTCTTTCTTCCCAGGGCTTTCCAGGACACGACAGAAATCAATCACACCTTCCCTAAGTTAAAATGATAACATTTTTTCAATAGCAACTTGAAAGGCTAAACATATATTGTTGTTGTTTTTGTACTTTTTTCGTCATAAACACTTTAATTACATTCGTGATTATAAATCCCCCTCTGGGCGTTTCTATATTAGTCTGAGTGGCGGTAGCAATCTTCAAACCTCCATCTGGGAGGATTAAACTCGATTTATCCTCTTAAACTCCAAATGCTCCCTCCTTCCCTCCTTCCTCCCTCCCCCCCACCCCGAACCATCCAACGCCCGGTCTTCCTCCGTAGTTACGATGGACCCAAATGCAGAAGAACTTCGAAGTACCAGCTGTATATCGGAATTCAGTATTATTTTGGAGTGGTGTCTTGTAGGGGTGCCGAGAAAGAAGCGGGGCTCCTGCGCCTAGTGTGTGGAATGGACATGCCAGCGCTAGGTTGCTCATTTACTGATCTTTAGCAGATTGTAATCTCATCAGATGGTCAGTCTCAGCACCCCCCTGCCGGGAAAAGAAGAGGCTGGCTGCTTTGTGCGGGATTCATTCTGGACGACTTTATCCTGTCCGGGGTGGGACGCGTCCAGTAGTGTAAAAAGGACCGCGATTATTAGCGTTCAACTTTCAGGAACCGGACTCTCCGTTTCATCTGCGGCTGTGGATTATTCGTGAAAACTGAAACTTTTTCAACTTCGATGAGCAAGAAATGGGTTTTTTAAACAGGGAGAGGAGCTCGTTTTTCTTTTCATGTGTAATTATTCTCATGACAGAAGCTGCTTATTGCGCGAGGAGGACTGCCGTGAGAAAACAAGGTAATTACCCCCCCCACAATCTTCCAAAACTTTACGCGTTTTTACAGGTGACAGCAAGTAAAGGTACCTATGAGACGACAAAAAGGGTTAAAATCGGCTGGGCAATCCATCACACAGGATTGCCTGCTTGTACTGTATGATTTGAGTCTAAACGATTGTACCTAAACATCAAACAATAACTTCCTCCCGTTTTATCCTGTTTAATTTTTCGCAATTGAAATGCTAAAGAAGAATCTGTTGTTTGGGCGTGTCTATAGCATGTTTATTAAAGAATGACATTTTCGCGAATTTGAAATGCGTGTCTTGGTCTTCGATTAACATTTGATCATGAATCTAAACATTAAACGCATTTCAATGGCAAATTTATTAAATCTATGGGCTGCATAGCAGGCGATCTTGTAACTGTTTCTACTGGTGCCTCGATTTTCTTTTTTACTGTTACTTCAACAACACTTTAATTCGTTTCTTTTGAATAGTGGTGTCTGATTTTCTGATTTCTCTCTACAGTACATTGTCGTTTCCCGCTGAATACATCACTCACTGTATGACGTGAAAACTGAGAAATTCTGCTAAATAAGTCATAATATTTCATAATTGATTGATGGCTCATGGAATTATCAAAGGCAGGCTAAACCCTCCGCTGTACACAGAGTACCCAGATTTGCGGTGTAGTGGTTATCTGCGACAGACAGTGGAGGAGAGGTTGCGGATGAGCGGCTCAGATCAGTAAACAAAGTGGGAGGCTACTCATCCTGTTTTAGCGTTTGATTACTCCGTTTTACAGCTACTGTACAGTACGTTGAATAAGTATCGGTGTGTTTTGTAAATGTTCTATTAATCTACAGTATTATAGAAACCAAAGCCCAACTTTATCGTTTATAAACAATATTTTGAAACGACGTTTTTTAAATACAGATAGTTACGTTTGTTTTAAACAAACACACAAAACAACACTTATTTTAGATATTGTACTGAAACATCACGTCTGCATTTTTCACTTGAATTAACGAGTCGTATCTCCAGTAATGAAGTTACCTCACACGTATTTAGTAGAAGTGCACTTGCACAGTTCAAGTCCAGCTGCTTTTCAAAAGATTTAGCACACGGTCATGTATAAAATTTCTAATTGACTAGAGACCACTACGGTTGAACTTTCGAACAGCCGATAAACCTTTATGAATGAACAGAGGAATTTTATTATTGTACTGAACTGAAGCCTTTCACATAACGTACTGTATGAGTTCGATTGCCAGTCCTGTGGACCAGTGATTCTAGACACAAAACAGTATATTGCTCTTATTTAATGTTGACTAACTGCTATACTTTTCAGGAAACGGGAAACAATATTTGCAACATAATAATCAATAATAATGATCATAATCAATTCTACGATCAAGTCCACAGAGGGCGCTCTGGTGCATTGTTTGCGGTACTGCTGAGGGAATTGGGCATGAGGATCCAAATTAATGGTACTGTACCAAGCAAAACTTGTTTGAAGCCAGCGGGTGGCAAGAGAGAAATTTTTAAATTTACCCTGATACCGGGCCCATCATATATTTAATTGCAAATTGAGCAATGACTCAAATGTTCATGTTTGTATGGAGTTGTTTTCTGTGGGAAGGAAGAGTACCGTTTACTTTTGTGGTAAATTATAGTTCACTGTTAACATTAAAAATCTGGGTAAAGGGTACTTTTATTCATTTATTATACTTCATAATCCTGTTCTATATTATACATTTTAGATAATTACATTTTATATTTTTAAGTTTATTGGACATCTCATGAATTACCTGTAAATTGTAAAAAATAGGAAGCGTAAATGGGAGGTATTCATCATCATCATCATCATCATCATAATAATAATAAGAATAAACTTTATTTTATGTAGCGCCTTTAAAGGTGGCTTCTCAAAGCGCTTTACAGGATGACAATAACAATAAATAAGAAGACTACAACAATAAATAATAATAAATTTCGCTACGGGATTAATAAAGTATTATCTATCTATCTAAATAACAATAACAATAGAGGAGACCGTGGATGGTGGTACTAAGAAAAGCAAAGGGGTGAAGAATGGAACCAGTTAAGTAAAGGCTTTTCTGAAGAAGAAGGTTTTGAGTCTGGATTTGAATGAGTTTAGAGAAGGTGACTCTCTGATATCCTTGGGCAAAGAGTTCCAGAGCTTGGGGGCATAGCAGGAGAAGGCCCTGTCGCCCATACGATGTAGACGGGCTTGGGAGACAGTAAGGAGGGCAGAATTTGAAGAGCGGAGGTTGCGAGGTGGGGAGTAGGGCGATAAAAGTTCAGACAGGTATTGAGGTGCCAAGCCATGTAAAGCCTTATAGGTGAGCTATTCATAGTTTCCACACCTATAATCCAGTTATTATGTCATAGTTTAGCTATAACCCTTTGTGTTAAGTGAAAGGGAGGCATGTCTGGTCAATTTAGATATCTGTAACTAAATTAAAATTAGCGTGGTTCTGATCCCCATAGCCGCAGCGCATAACGTAATGCACGTCAGGACGTGACGTTACGTGCCTTCTTGGTAGTCGTGATTTCCTGGTATGCAGACAATGATTCTGTAGGTCAGAAGAAGTAGGATTTAATTCCTCATAGCTGCTTAGGGAAAAAACGTCTAAAAAGATACTACTGTATGATCAGCTCTGAAGATCCTACAGCAATACTTTTTCTGTGGAGTTAGATGATTTTTACTTTGCTTTTAACTGCTGTTTGCCAAAGAAAAGACTTCTCATAGTGTACCACGGCAAAAAACGGGTACAATCTGGAATTCGTATGGTTATTAACTTTTTTTATTTAAAGAGAGGGCATTCATCCATGATTAGCCTAGCTCAACACAGGCAATACTGTGTGAAGAATTGTGGGAAATAATTAATACCATCTGACAAAGCTTTATATCTACTGGAGAACTATTTGGAACAAAACGAATGCGACATTTGCATTACTGATTAAAAACCTGTAGACTGGCCTTTGTTGCTTAGTTTGTCCAGTTCTAGAAATGAACTTGGAGAAAACAAAGATGAGTGTGATGTATTCATGTTTACAGTGCAGAAATAATACCCAGTAAAATCCATGTATATATTTATTTAATTTGCAATTGTATGTGGTCAAGCCTCAAAGGGTGCAAATAACAGCACGCACAGTAATAATTAGGTGCCAGGATGCTGCACAGTGATGAGGAGTTTCAGTGCAGAAACAGACAGGAAGTCATAGCATAAGGGCAGAATCTGTAGGTTAGGGTCAGTCATAGGCATCTGGTGTCAGCTACAGTATATCCCGCAGATATGGATTTTCAGGTTTTTCTGGAAGACTGCAAGTGAATCCGCAATGTAGCAGGTAGGTCATTCCACCACTGTGGGGCAGCATAGAGAACAGTCTGACCTAGGACCTGTGGCCCCTCAGCAATTGCCAGTTGGCCTGAGGAACCAGATCTTAGTGCCCTGTGGGCCTGACAGTGGTCTGCAGGGGCCATGCAGGACTATGGGCTTTGCCATGTTGTTTCTGGAGTTTTTTTACACTCATTATGGAAGTGTACATGAGAGATCTCTGTTATTTAAGAATACAAAGAAGGGGTGTCTAGATTACAGAGCTTTGACTAAGTGCTGATATGCTTATAGACTGCATTGGTACTGGTCTGGCAACTATGAATCATTTCTGGAGTCCATCCACCTGTCTTAATCACCCACAACCTGCAATTAGCATTGTTTTTAGGAAGGGGTCAGCTCCACCCTCAGAACATATGTCATTATGGCACTTTGTAGAAGAATCTGTGCCACAGGGATCTGAGACGCTATGCATTTTCGGCATTTCAAACGGGGAAGCCTTTCTGACTTCTCAAACTTTATGCGGCCTACAGAGGAGTCCCCCAGCCCTGGTGCTGTTTCTCATTCATGTACTGGTTTGTCTCAGTCCTAATTAGTGGGGTCTTTAGCCTCTGAATGGAGACACCTATGAAGCATGAAGGTATGGAGTTTCTCAGCACCAGGTGAATATCGGCCTTCTGTGAAGAAATCGATTCACCTGTTTAAATTTCTCAAAGTTCACCACTGGTGCACCAATGCACATGACTCATTCCTCTTACTCCTCCTTCAGGTGTCTCCAAACTCCTTTCCTTGTGGCAGGGGTTGCTTGTCAGAAAATATAACTATCAGCTTGTATGGACACTGTCTCTGGAAAAACATGATTTATAATTGTCTGGGAACAGAAAAGGTCCTCTATACATCTTGTTTTTTCTGTCCAGCCGTGTTTGTGTTCACAGTAGCTCTTGTCAGTATGACAGATCCTATTCTTTCCTTAATGAAGTCCCAGGTGAACAGCTCAAGTTCAGCCAAGGGCGTATGTTCACCTACCAATGTAATATTATGCTCATGCAAAGCTGACCCCACATTAATGTTCTGTATACTGTATGTATTTTGTTATATCCATTAGAATATGATCAATGTTCTGCCCCTACATCAGCTTGCCTTAGAAAAGTTTCTGTTTTTTCTCTAAATCTCGCCCGTATCTGTCCTTTATCTGATAATGGGTTTTGATTCAAACAGAGCAAAACCTGAGAACAATGTGGCATTACGTTTTCAATAAAAGGTCATGTTTTGCTTTGCAGTTTTACATAAATATTTAAATGGGCTCTGCATGGACCATTGTTTTGCTGCGAGATGAGAGATACGGCATGATTACAGCCTTTTATTTAATGCCTCAGTGTCACACACCACCAGCCAATAATGTAAGAAACAAGAGATGGTACTTGTCTGAATAGCAACTGATTGTGTCTTTGTAGCTCCCGAAATGCAAAAGCACAGTAGATAAGTTAATGAAAATGAACTCTCATACTTGCTTATCAAAGCCTGTCACCATAGTGACAACTGAAAGGGAGATGTGAAAAATCTGTCTGTCTGATCTGTAAGGCTCCCCATTTTGTAATCAGGCTGTCTACCCATTAAAATATGTCTCGTATATTTAGTGTTACAGATTTAGGAAAGAAAAAGCCCTCATCAGTTTTCTGACCCCAAAATTCCCTAAACAGTTCACATTCAAATATTCCTCTTATGGAAATCTCAACCTGAGATGAGTAAAACCCCCTCTGTGAAGATGGCCGATGACACTGCATGATAGGGTACTTCCCCAGTTTTAGAAAAGGCTCAGATTCTGGGAGGTGAGCTGGCTTCGGACTGAAGACTGAGTTGATAGGGATTATTTTCACACAGGGCAACTTAGCAGGCTCATGTGCCTTTCTACAGTGGTGGAGGCACACAATTAGTTACCCACACAGCCTGCTCTTTCTAGAGCTGACATCAGGTGTGCACAAATTAAATGTTATGTTTCTTACTATATGAACTGCAGGGTGGGGGATGTGAACGCACAGTCCTCTAGTTACTGTAGAAGTGTAGGACCCTAGCCACTGCTCCACCTGCTTCCTCGTGAGCCTTTCTCCTGATGCCCTTTTGGCATCACATGCATTTGTAATTCATTCCTTTTGACACTGCAAAGAGAAAAGGGCGAAGAAATTTGTCTGAATAGAATAGATCATTTTGGAAAGCAGCCTAGTGGTGCTGCGGGATCTCTCTCTCCGTATTTTTTATTTTGCAGCAATGAGTGATAGATTTGAAGTTTGTAGAGATGGGGGGGGGTTGTTTTTTCAGGATTGTGTTCATCAGGGAAATAAATTTAGTCTCATAGGCCTTACTGTTCATTAAATAAGGTGCTGAGCAACTGTCTGGTCATTTACGGTCTCTTTATTCTGATTTAGACCTTTTTTTTAAAGACTCTCTTTAGCTGAGAAATCTCAGTTAATCTAGTACTATTGGTGATTACAAAAGTGTTTTTACCTTGAATCAAGGTTTTTGGAACAGATGCTATATTACAAGACCAAAAGCATAGTCTGTGGGAATGCAGAATATACGGTATTTGATTTATCACATACAGTACTGTACAGAGTGGCCCTGTGTTAACTTTTGTTATTTGCCGTTAGTTGGAATTTGCTGCTCTGTCTTTTTTTTTTTGCAACCATTCCACCAGCAGCCACTTTTTTTTCAATCTTTGCTGTGTCATTTTGTATTTAAATCATCTGCACAACCTGATTCCTGAATCATCTGTAGGTGGTGGTGTTTGTGGTAAATGACAAGCCCTGAGAAATCAAACTTTGTTCCATGAAGGACTGAATTGCAGTTGTGCAGTTGATAGATACTAAACCTGTTACTCCAAAACAACTTGTAGTACAGTTTTGTAAACACTGTAATCTTTTTGGTGGAAAACACCATGGCAAATCCAAAAAGATGTGTAGAACTTCTTGAACATCAACCTTGGTGTTAAATCATCACCAATGTACTGTATCTCATCTCTACTTCATCTTTACCCGATGAGTTCAACAATGGGATTTTGAGCTCCTAATATTTTGTCTGATAGAACCATATGCACCACACATGGATATTGAAGACTGTGGGATCTTACTTAAGTGACCTAATATAGACAGGCCAAACAAAAGAAAACATTTGCTTTTATTAATACTGTAATACTGGGGAAAAAAGGCTTGTAAAAGGCAGGACAGGCTTTTCACAGACCTGAAGTGATTACAGTACCCACAATCTCCTAACTTCCAAGTGCTGGATTAAAGAGACCTATAATCCTGCTGTATATGAACAGGTCAGATAACAGTCTGTGTGCTCTCTCTGGGAACAGCCTTCCCCTTTTTTTCTTCCCACTCCATCCAGGAGTGTTTGGTTTTACATTGGTTACATAGCTAGATAGGTCTTTCCCTGTGCTAGCCATACAGTACTATATGAGAGTACTCTAGCTACGTATGTTTCTGGTTTCTCGCCTGTGTGCTGCCATCTGTATAGTGTTTTCTAGTTCGCTGTCCTTTATTCTCTGCAATCGTATCAACATGATGTATGTATCAGTACTGATTACTGCTCATCAAGTTCTGTGTCTAACTTTTGAGCGCTAGCATGTCAAACCTGAACACTGGTTTGAACTATTTTCATGTGCTTCTCCGTGTAGGTGAGAGATATACAGTACTGTATGAAGGTAATCCGGGGAAACTCGAGACTAACAAACTTGTTCGTTGTCTAAATGAACCCCAGAATTTTGTCCGAGTTGATGACTTTTCTGAGTTTTGTCTTTACTACCCTGACTCTATTTGTTCTGCAAGGTGAGACCATGGCTACTTTGCACAGACTTTCTGCTGGTGCCCTCGATAACCTTTTTATTTCAAACTGGGCTTATGGCTAGTTCCCTATGCATCTTCTTATCATATGGTAGTTTTGAAAATTGTATATTTTGGAAGGAATCTTGATAGATTCCCAACTGTGCAAATTTTCTGCTTTAAGGATTCCAGTTGTCAGGATTGATTAAATGGTGTAACTGCTTTGTGTGTGGTGACCATGGGCCAGGGTGGAACTGTGCTCACCAAGATGGGGGCAGACCAGGCCAGAAGTGACACTCCTTGATTTACAGACTTTTTCAAGTCAATAGCAGTCTACCAGCTTGTAAATCCTGAAAACCTGTCTTTCACAATTACATCCTTGGATGCACTATTTTTCAAAATTGAAATTGGTGATGTAAACACTCTTAATTGCTGACAGGAAATTGATACCTTGCCAGTGGAGGACTATAACGCCTTCTAATCAGGAAAACTCATTTAACTGCCTTTCAAACCTCTAACCATTTGTTCTAATTTTAGAATGGGTTTCAAATATTATTACATCTTTAATGAAGGGATGAACACCTGAAGATGCTGCTTCTCTGCCATTAAAACTGAGCACAGGGTAACCCAATGTGTGATTAGTACTGCATGCCTGAATGTCCCTAATGGACTTTAGTAGTTTATCATGGAAAAGACTGTCTCGGCTTGCCATGCTGATAGTGTGGCATGTGTGCTCAACACATGCTTCCAATTTGTGCAGCTTCAAAGGCCTGGTGGAACAGAAAACCTATCGTCTTCCCTGCTTTGAATCCCTGGGGGGGTGGAAGATTGCCATTAAGTCAATTATATGAAGTTTTAACATCTGCTATGTTGGTTGGGAGCACAACGAGGGCGCCACAGAGATTTTCACATTGACAGCACCCATGAACTCTTTGTGGCCAGTGTAATGGTTGGGTTATTGCAGGTGATTCAAGACTTGTCTGGCACTTGCATTTTTTCAGCAAGGAGAATAAAATGTCAACCCAAGTTGTGCATGTGCTTTGTTTTTTCTTTATTGTGTCAATATACTACATTAATGTTGTTGTTTTTTCTTGGTAAAACCCAAGGGTTTATTCGTATTGCACATAGAAAAGCTACAATATCATACAGAAGATGGTTGTTTTTTAAAGATTTTCTTTCTCTGTTTATAAATAAAATGATTTCCTTTTAGTGCGGAGCTGTGCTCTTTGGAGATTCTCACTTCTTGGGCATTGACGTAATAGTAGTGGACCAGGGCACAGTTTAGTTAACTTTAAGCTTGATTAGAGTGCTTGACAAGGTCAATGAGAGTTACTGTAGTTCAACTATATTTTATTATGGGCCTCTTTATCTTGAATGAACATCATAACTATCCTGAAGAACTTGACTGGTGTTAGTGGACTGGCTGCCAGTCACTGAAGAGCAGCTTTCTCTGAGACTGTTGTTTTGTGCCTGCAGGGCACAACAATACAGGTGGAAAAGTGTTAGAATACTTATCGCAAAGGGGAAATCCATTTCAGCCATGCTGAGAGAGTCTGAAATAAAATGTCATTGCCCTGGTACGATGGCACGCACCCTTGTTTTTCCTGGTGGTGGTCTGGTTTCTTTCAGGTGCACACCGACTCACCAGTGTGGCGTCTCCTGCAGTACAGGGGACCCTGTCTTATCACAGGTTGAGATCTGACTTGGGGTTTACTGCTCCAGTGAAAAGAGCATGACCTACTGCTCCACTCACACTGCTTTCAGCAGCACTCTGGTTTCCTTGGGTTAGTCAGTCATGCTGGTGTCCACCAGGCCCAATTATGTTGATCTTCTTTGCTGTGATGAGCTCAGCACTCAATGTGCTCTGTACCCAGTGGATCCAGAAAACAGTATCAACAACCAAAATGCAGGGTTATATAAAGGGATTGTTTGTAGAGTTAAAACTTTGTTCCCCGAAGATAACAAAAGTTTCTTGTCATCCATCCACTGTCTTGTTAGCGAGTAGTTTTCTTATTCACTGTCCGGGATTGCCAGATCCACCCAAATTTGAAACCACGATGCCATTGAGAGTCCCTGTTACAGTGTGAGGACTTGTGTTCTGGCCTCAGCTTGTAGCACATCCTAAATCCGTTGTGTTTCTGTATCGCAGATCGACTGAGTCCTCCCCTGGACATCCAGGTGGAGCCCCTGAACTGTACGGCATTCAGTGTGCGCTGGAGGATGCCCCGACGCCACATCAGCACCATCACCGGGTACAAGGTACAGTAGGAGCCCTTCTGTCTTGGGTTTACCCCATGCCTGCATCTCCACTCCACTTGAGTGAAGTAAAGTATTTGAAGCACCCAGCCTCTGCATGGCAGCCTGATGTTCAGAAAAGGGGTTGTGACTCGGTCTACTATGGCTAGGTTATATCCACTGCCTGTTTTTGAGGGAAGGAACCTTAGCTGATTTAAGTCTCCCCATCCAGGCATCCAATTCTGTCATTGTGTGTGCAAACCCACCTGTCTTTAAGATTTTCCAGTAGCAGGTGGTGAGGCTCACAGTCTGGATCTGAAACTGGGGTGATTCTTATGTTAGTCATCTTAAAGTCTATGGGGAAAATTGTTTGAACTTGTGAATGCCCTGGTGGGACTTGAATATAACACTGGCTTTTGGATCTCATTTGCACTGATAGAAAATCCCAGCTCTTCAGTCTATACCCTTTAATATATACCTTTAAAATCAGTATAGAGTGCCGCAAATTGTCACTGGGTACCCTGTAACTTTGGGTATTCACTTATTTAGGGCATCTTAAATGGTGCTGGGAAAAATGAGTCTTGAGGTGATTCAATATGCAGTATTTGTTGTCCATTGGAAATTGGTCAATTGGTGAACAGGTCTGTTTCAGAGGCACAGTAAAAGATCAGTGTTCTGTGTGAAAAAGATTGCAAAAAAGGTTGCAAACAGAAATAACAATACATACAGAAAATGCCTTTCAGCAGTCAAAGCTGCTCCAAAATGACAATGATTAAACTTGACATACTTTAAGCAGTCAAAATAATGATTTTCTTTCTGTTAGATAATACTGGTTCTTTTTTATTGATATTAACAAGTTAACAAATCATCAGAAAATAAATGACAGGTTTTCTTATTGACTTACATGTAAGTTCACAAATAAATGTCTTGCCTGAATACATTAGGAGAACGAAATTTGTTTTTCAATCTTGTGTGGCGGATTCACTTTTGTAATGGTGAACATCTTCTTTTTCTTTGTTTTTTGTCAGTCGCTGCACTCTGATGAACTGTGATAAGTATTTTCTGGTGTTGAGTTAGTTCCCAATCTCTGGGACCCTTTGAGCCATATACTATAGTGAAGGAAACAAGCACAGTAAATGGAGCTGTCAGTACTTTATGGCATTCCAAACCTGTAAGAGTGAAAGAAAATCTCAACACTACTGGAAAAAGTTGTAGCGAAGAGGCAGAGATTGGGCTCTGATCTGCTGCTGAAGCTCACAAGAGACTGGATCAAGAGAAGACAGGCTCTCTAGGAAAACAAATTCATGTTACTAAAGAAAAATGAAATTCTGACCTGCTGCATGATAATTGAAGAGAAGCATGCAGGCTCTCTGTGAAAGGCGAGCCAGACCTCGGTGACATGCAATAATAATATTGACTTAGCTGTAGATGTTACAGATACTGGCTTAGATTGTGCGAAGTAAATGGCTATGTCATGCAGAGGTTGTGCTCTTTTTAGGAACCACAGGAAGCACTCTGTATTTTGGAGAGTAACTGCTATTTTAAAATCCAAGAATGCCAGAAACGTTCTGGACTTTGAAATGTTTTAAATAAAAAAACAAGCCCTGAGGTGACTCAAGGAGAAAGTTAGCTGTGGAGTATAATGTCAGAACTGTCTGGCCTTCTAAGAAATTTTAATAAAATGACCATTCTTCGAAGAATAAAAAGGCATCTGTTAGTCAATAGAACGTGGCACAGGCTAAAAAGTGTGTCTGAGGTTTATAGACAAGAACACTGCCTAAACTATTGAATGGAAAAAATGAGCAAACAATAATAAAAGAATTGGTTTTTATGCAAACTTTGGCCTATTATAGAATGCTCAACACATAGTCTTATATTAAAGGTGGAATTTGTTTTTGAAACAGCCTTTAATTCTTGGTCAAAGATTTGTTCCTCATCGTGACACCACTTGTTAATTCAAGACAGATACCTTTGTTGCAGTGACTTCTTCCACCTGCTGATTGCAAGTTTATCAATGTTTTGACAAACGTTTTTTTCAATTGAAATTGATTTGAAAATATCCTACTATGGTATTTTGGGACACAGAATCTTACCTCCCTGCTGTTGCTCTTGCTAAAGTAAAGAGAAAGTGAACAAGACCTACTGTATGTACCAGCAGCCTGCTGGACGAGCAGGGAAAATAAATACCATTAAAGAAACTGTTCCCTGCCTCTGAACCTGAAGATCACAGCCTTGGGTGACCTCACTGTGAGTCTCAGGTCCAAGTAAATAAACTCTCCAGGCCAGACACACCTAGGAGTTGTCCCTGTTTGTGCTAAGTGCTGTAAAGCACCTGCTGTACTGCCAAAGTATTTCTTTAAAGGACCTACATGTGAAGAGGAACAAAGTTAAGATTTTGCTTGTTTTGTTTATGACTCTGAGCAAATGTCAGTTTTCTAATCAGCCTTTTAAAGCTGTTGCTAATGTTTTATATGGACTATGAAAGTGCCATTATTTGTGAATCCCAGTCATGTCTTTGTGATTTGTCACCACCAGATTATCTAGTTATGTCTGGAGCCTAATTATACTCTGTTTATACCTTATGTTCTCCTCCTTTGGTTGATGTCTCAGCACTTAAGATTTAAGAATGGGGAGAAGACGCATCTACTTGGAAATTTAAAGCACCCTTCTATTGGTTTTTAGTCTTGCACTGCATTTTAAGATAATAAAAACATGCCATTCTGCTGTACATATTGGCAATTAGATGTTCTCTGCCAAGAACAAATTGCAGCAAGACACTAACATTTTACAGCTCAAGGTACAATTATCCAGCTGCAGCACTTTATCATGTTTAAGATTTGCACAATGTTGTTTCCGTAATAGCCTGTGGGTTGCAGGACAAGCAAGGGAAAAAAAGATGCTGGTTTAAGACTGTGATTATTGAGATGGGAAAATGTAACCTGTATTGAGTGATTTGCAGAGAAAACGGCACCTGAGGATTGCAGAACCGTTTTGGAAGGTACTGTACAGTTCATTTTCAGGTGTGGAGTGCAGATACAGACTCTCATCCCTATGCAGTGCTGAAGCTGTGGTGAGGACCAGAAATAAAAACAGTTCCCAAATCCTGTAATAAGGGGTGTGGGAGATTATTGAAACATCTTTCTCTATTTGCTTCGGGGTTTTGTTGTGCTAGTCCCTGCCCTGTTGACAGCTCATCTGGACAGGCCAGCCCTGGTGATCAGCACAGCTTGCCTGGCAATTGTGACTCTTCAACCTGGACCAAAGTCCCTGTGGGATTTCATCCGCATCCTCTTGACTCACTCCCAGGCAGTGTGCGGACGGCTGCCTGTGGTTTGGGGTTAATGGATGTGTTAAGGATTCCTGCGTCTCTTGAGATTACTGGCCATGTGGGCCCTCACTGGGGTTTTGGCCATTTGAATGGTTCAGTGGCTTGGAAACCTTCTGCAACAGCCAGCCTCATCAGCTCTTAAACTGTTGTGAGAATGAATTTCATCCCATTGCAAGAGAGTTAGCAGGAGAGGGCTTGGCAGCCAGGAGAGCCCTGAGCCGTTTCAATCAGGTTTGTCCACAGGACCTCGGAGTTGATAGCGCTACTAACAGAAATGAAGGATCTGAGAAATACAGGTTTCACCTCAGTTCCAGCCTGTCAAAGTGTGACTGGTGCTGTGGACTCACTCACCAGCGCCGTAGCACCCTTAACCAACTGCAAGTATCGAAAGTCCAAAAATCCTTTCTGGTTCAATACAGTGCACAGGTGGGGGGTTAGCTGAAAGCACACTTAAAAACATTGCTCTTAAATGCCCTTTCTATGTGTTTGTGGACCTGTTTCAGGTGTTTTACACAGAGATGAAGAACAACAGGCCAGTGAGTATAGCTGTGACACATGACATTCCTTTGAGTCTGGACATGCTTACTATGGTAAGTAAAGAGTACGTATGGTATTTTACATCTAACTTAAAACCTACAGTATTTGCTATGTAAAATGACACAAAGCGCAAACTGATGTTTAGTATTTGCCCCACAGTATTCTTATTGATTGTCATAAAGTATCCGGTGCTTTTCCATAGATTATATTATACAGGCCTTGTCTGTAAGGCTCTGGGGAGAGTCACTACAAAGAGACGTGATTTTGCCTTGCGGTGTGGTGAATAGTGCTTGTGCCTCACAGTGGTTGGCTTTTTGTACAGTTCTGGGCTAGAGCACCTTTTTTTAGAAAACTATACTGAGAATGTTACAGACAGCTGTTTAGTCCTGTATGATATAATAGCTACTATATGTACAGAATGCAAGAAATCATATGATATTTTGTATTGTTTTTTGTCATAAAACTGATGACCGACTTGTTTATTGTTTTTGCAGGGGCAGTTTGATGGACAAGCAAGTTTTGTAAGTATAATATGTTGTTCTAGTTCTTTATATGCCTCACATAAGACAGGACCCCATAAGGCATGTGTTAGAAGATATTATTGAATGGTGTAAGAATTCTGCTGATCTAAAGGAGTGTGTTATAGATGGGTAGTTAACACAGATTTAAAGTATATGAAGATTGACACCCCAGATGTACAGTACATGTCAGTGTGTCCAATTTCCCCACCCTTTCCAGTATGACCCTGATGTTTCTTGCATAGAAAGACTGTTATACAGTATGTATACACTGTATAAGTACTGTATAACATAATGGAACACTTTTCTGGATATTGAATTCAACTGTAGTGAAATTGAAATATTTATTCAAGAATATTTGAAATTATATTTCATTTAACACCAAGGCATTAAAAATTCAACAAAAGCATATTATAACAAACGTCATTTGTTCCAGTTTTGATGCCTTTTTGTATATTTAGCTTGCTTTGCTATATTTAACAGTATATTTGTTTGAATGCCAAGGAGTAGTATCCTGTGACATTCTCTAATCCAATATTTTATTATTCATGTTTGGTTTGCAGGATGCATGTCTTTTATCAGAATGACATTCTCTGGGCTTCATCTCACATTAGATTCTGAACGTTTCTCCCCATGGGTTCTTTGCTTGGTTTGTTTGAAAAGAAAACAAAGCATTAAAATTGTAAAGTGTCAAAAATGATTAGTAAGATACCCTAGAGGCAGTTTAAATGTTTGATTTTGATTTTGCTTCATTAAAGGGCCTGTTTTTCCTTTTAATAAAAAAAACAGTAATGTTAGCTTGACGGAAAACAGGCAATCATGCCTCTGTCCTCAGGCGCTGAATGTTGCTTTCATTGTGAGCAGCACCCACTTTGATATCAGACTCAATACCGACTTAGACTGCTACAAAACAGAGGTCCTGAGCTCAGGCATGGGAAAATACAGCTTCTGTTTATCAAAGAGCTCTTTTGGACTTTGCCTCTAATGACAATAATAGACTGAAGATGGGTCCACCCTGTATCTGCTCCAGGACGTTGTCATTGGTAACCTCAAGGTGGGCACTCAGTACAGGGTCAGCGTTGGAGCTTTCGGATGGGCGGGAGAAGGGAGGCCCAGCATGCCTCGTGATGTCACCACTGCTTCTCGAGGTGGGTAGCAAAGCGACGAGTAGGATTTCTTCAGGGAGATAGAAATGGGTGAAACAGATTTCACCCAAAGAAAACTCCTAGGCTGACTGTCCTATATTTCCACATGTGCAGGTTAAACTATGACAGAGAGGCGATGGGCTTCGCTCCTGTTTTGCAAGAGAGCCCAGGACACTTCAAAAGAGCTCTCTGGAACAAAGCATGAATTCCTGAATATCTCATATGAACGTTATGTCATAAAAGTAACATAACTATTGTAATACATGAAGGCCATCAGCCTTTATTACTATTGGTGTTTCTGTCCAGATTTGATGCTCTTCAGTATGCAGCATACATCAGCTAGACTACAGGCTACTCTCTCTGTATGTCAGTACCACTGAAAGAGCTGGGTGATTGTTATCAATACCCTTTCAGTTGTAATGAAATGTTTGCCTATGAGATTAATCTTTTCGGAGGCTTGTCCCATGAACCGTTTATAAAATAGTCCAAAAGACCCATCTTCATGTCTGCATTTACTAACAACTTTGGTATATTTGCTCATTTAGATGAAGCAATACCACTGTTCAGTATCCCGTCAGTTTTTGGCCACACTATACCATATAAACAGAAATTCTCCTCTTGTAGTTACGGTGCCAGCAGTGAATTTTCAATAGGAAACATTAATAAAGCTGTTGGTTTTCTGTTGGATGCGTTTAAAAGTTTACTTGGCACACAGTTGTTTAAGACCCATCATCTCACCTCAGAGACAATCTCTAACTTTCCCCTCTTCCTCCACCAGATAAATGCATCCCACCTTCCCCGCCAACGCAGGCTCGGGCCCTGGCTGTGTCCGACACAGAAGTAGCATTGTCATGGAAACAGGGAGAGAGTCAAGGCAGCTCGCCGGTTCAGTACTTCTTGGTGGAGTACATAAGGTGAGAGTTGTTTGTGTCTGTCAGAACTGGTGTTCAGTCCCCTGATGGCTCCTTGTACAACCCTCTCAGCTAGTACCACTTCAGGTTTGATTATAACTCCAATTGCAGAAACCATTCTGAAAATGAAACAAAGAACAGGCTTTTAAATGTAAACCAAACTTGAACATCCATAAGGAAGTGCCTTAGCACTTTAAAACTGAAAGATTTAGCTCCTTCTCCTGGCTGTTTCTTTGTACAGGGTTAAGGCAAAAAGAATCATGGCCGAGGCCAATTTAGAGACTGGATCTCCGGATTATTTCCACTTTTTAACAGGAGGAGTGAAGAGGTGACTGGACAAAATCCTGCAGTGGATCACAAGCTATTATGATAAAAAAACAAATTTCCCTCCTCTGTCGAGTTTTAGTTGTGTTTAAACCTTAGTATATTTTGGCTTTTTATACATTTGGTTGGCTTTTGGTAGTGTGTAGAAAAGATAACAAGACTTTTTTAATGGATGGAGCCAATAAAAACATCCCAATGCCCGGACTGTGTGGCACTTGTCAGGGGACATTTTCAATATTTTGCACAGCAGCAATCCAAATCAGATTTAACGATTTATGATTAAATATGGGAAATTCTGAAATAATTGTGTGATCGGTCTGCACTGAGGTTGATTGTTGCTCTGCAGAGTTTTGTGCTGACACGATTACTGTATGCGGACTGACAGTGAAAAGACCTCCTCTGATTTGTTGGTTTTCCACAAGCTTATTGGAATCGGCTGTGGGTACAGAAGGAATTTTGTTTTCCTGTCCTCAGTTTTACAGGGAGGGAAACTGAGATACAGACAGTAAACGTCTGTAGCATCAAAGCAAAATTTGTGTGTGGTGGGAACCAGTGTAGCCAGGGAGTTCAAACAAGCGTGCTGGTCACTTCAAATTTGTATAATTGAAACCTTATGTTCCCAGTACAGACAAAGAAAAGAAAAGAGAACTGCAGGGTGGCTTTTCAGAAAGTCTTGACACAGTGACTCTTTAGCAGCAGATAAATGCTGGTCTGACTGAGAAAGGCAACCGCAGTAACCAGAATCACCGAGGCAGTCACGACTGCGTCAATCCCAGGTACAGCAACATGTGCAGTGCAATGCTGTTTTCCCCTTGTGCTTCCTCTGCTTTAGACATAAAGCAAAAAAAGAATAATCAGGTGTGTTGTCAGCGAATGTTCAGACACACATGTTAAAAATGGTCTTTCACTTCAAAAGTTCGATAGCACAAAGCGTTCAGGCTGTTACTGGTGTTGAAAGCATGGCGTGTGCCAGTGAGCACTGCTGGAGGCTGTTGGCTGTGGATGTGGATGTCCCCCTCCTGCTTGTCAGTCTGTCCTGGCACTGAGCAATCGCACACTCTGTGGGCGAGAGGGTGCTTCTCCCTCTTATCCTGTTTGACCCCTGGCCCCTGCTTTTCGGAGGGCTGGTGAATGTTCACTATTGTGTGGGTGTGAATGGCTGCTCTTTGACTGGGAACAAACATTCAATGGGGGCTGGTGTGGAGACCCCTCAGTCCAAGATCTTACGGGACACAGAGAGATGAAAAGTCTGATAGGCAGTTAATTAACATTGTAGGGTCGGCTGGGGCTGGAGCGTTTCCGCTTGGGGCTGAAGAACTCTCTTAGCAAGTCAGACAATGTAGATTTTTGAACATTGCTTAGCAAAGACAAGAGTCCCACTGTGCAAGCTTACAATCTTTATCAGCTGAAGCTTGGATGAATAAGTAAAGTGCAATGTGTTTAACAGTTGCATATTGTCTGTACTTTCTTGATTATGTAGTTGTAAATTTGAGTTAATCTTGTATGTGTTCTGTCGAAAATTCTGTTATTTAACATTAAATAATATTTTATATAGATATTTAGATGTTGTGTCAAAGGTGCTACCTGCTGTTCAAAGGTGGCAATTTGTCATTTTTGTCAGAAAACCTGTAGAGTATTTTTGAGAAAACTAAAGATCTTCATCCAGTCTAACACTTCCTAAAGTACACTGTTTACAATAAAAGCTATTTTTGGCAGATTTTGTGTAATGCATCTTAGTTTTCCACATACAGTTCCAGCCAGTCTAGTTGGAATAACTGGTTATATGATAGCTAGAAAATATTTTCAGAACCAGAGCAGTGTGACATATAAAACATACAAAATGTTCTACCACCCCACATGGACTGAGAACCGGACCACATACAGTAGACTGAGTTTTTAGGAATTGGATTGTACAGTATGTGAGGGCTAAGAGACTAAAACCCTCCTGCACACAATTTAAAGAGGTTTAGTGTTCTGTCACTCAGTTGGAATTCTGTCTTTTTTTAAACAAAACAATTGCATAATAAATAACTCCCACACACAATTGTTTCTTTGCAAATTATGTATTTGGTCTTTTGTTGTGTCTCCAGACAAAATGTCTTCAGGTTATGAAACAAGCAGTGTGTAATGTATATTCATCAAGAGAGATAGGATCCATTGTTTATAGAGCAAAATGATTAGAGCTTGATTAGTCATTGTCAGATGTCCACATTTTAATCAAGAAACAAATATGGTTAAACAATACTAATTACAGGATTAGAGGCAGCTGGAGAGGACAGACAAACAATGTACCCTGGAGTTATGATAAGATCCGGATAATACACCTTAGCCTTTCACAGACCAGCTCTTTATATGGCAGTCTTGTTTTCAGCAGAACCGCCTTAAAGACATTTAATTGACGATGAATAAGGCTTACCAGCAGGGGTCTCCGATCCTGGACGAGGACAAGCCCTATCTGGCAGGTTTTAAATGTAACCATTAAAACTCTGACTTATAAAGACTTGGAGAAATTTAATTGTGATTTGTTTAAGTAATTGAGATGTAATTTAGAATAAAAAATGTGGGTACGTCTCAGTCTCTAAAGACCAGAGGTCTCTTGACCTTGAACGGAAGACTTGCTTAATCACTCGATATCTCCTAGTTTTTAGAAACTGTTGAGATTGTTCATATATGAACACTGAGATTGTCTCTCTGGGAATGAGATGGGGGATGCCTATATTAAATCAAGAATCCCCCAACATTGGTCTTTGACAACCACAGTTTCAGTATGTTTTCCAGGTCTCCTTAAATTGTAACCAGTATAAGATCTGACAGTCCTCACACTGGGGCTTGGGCTGCTCTGTCCTTTGCGGTCTTTGTGCACTCAGAATAGGACAAACTGGGGTTGGGGAAAAAACAGCAAGGATTCCTATCTGTCTTCCAAGGTTTCCCTATTAGAAAATACTAAGGAAAGGAGAGCTGACTTGACGAGCCTTCACAGGGAAGGAACAGAGGAGCATGAAGCAGCATAGCATCTGGAACAGAGCTCTGCTGGCTCATGCTGGGAAAAAAATAATAAAATCATGCATAAAATCATCCACCTGGGAGGAGGCCTGCTGTCTGCTAGCAGCTGCACTGTAAGCACTTGTTACAGAACACAGGGCTTCTGCAGGTGTAGTATCTTACACAGGTAAACCTCATGTTGCTTTTTGCCTGTGTGAAACACTTAGCTTGCTCAGCAAATGGGTCCTTTTGGCTTAGCTGCAGTTAGTTTAGTGTTAGTTTAAAAAGGACAAGCTTTTACACAATACTGCTTTTTTGCCAGATAATTTCCATCTGAATTAGTTTCTGAGACTCATTCCATATTCTTATTGCTGGTAACAATTTCATCATGTGTGAAATATCTGATGCTGCTACAGTTTCATCCTAAATCCACCTTCTTAAAGGCAGAAGCTGGGTCATAATTACAATATAGTCCTCAGTTCTCGATTGTCAGGTCAGAGCTGTCTGAAGATCAGAGAGAAATTAAACATGAAACTCAGAAGCGATCAGCACCTGAAAGGTTAATGCTATTTTCCATTCCGTCTCCTGTTCATATTCCTTATTTATTTCAAGTGGGCTAGCTGCACAGTTAGTCATGGCAGCTCTATAATTGCCCTGGCTTGTCCTCTGTTTACAATTTGCTGAGTGATTCAGTCAGTGTGTTGCTTCTCTGTGACAGGTTTTGCTTAATTGAAAGATGTGTTATCAATAATCATTTGGTTAACTTGTTCTGGCTTTCTTTGGTCCACAAAGAAACTGGTTCAGTTGGCCATATATTTCTCTTGAGAGAACATTTTTCTCCATCTTCTTTTCTGTTCACTGTATGCATGACAGTGTCCGTATTGTTAAGCAGATCCATTGGGATCGAAATCTCCTGCATTTTCGGTACTGCTTTCTAAAGCTCTTCTGTGTAAGTCACATGTGGTTTTGTTTGGAGCAACACATTTTTAAGAATATAAAAAGTGTCCACAAAATTATGCAGCCAGTTTATCATACTGCACTTTAAACTGTTTGGATCTCCTGTGAAATTCTTAGGATAACATTCCTGGTCTGAGTGCTTTGAATGTTTTTTGGACTTATGTTTAAAAACACTGCATTAATTACTTGCAGGGTCCATTTGTAAATTATGCCAAGTTTTTTCTGAAATGGCCTTAATTTTGGCCCTTAGTTGACCACCTGCGGATGGCGTTCCATACACACAAGATGAAATGTTGAGAAATACAAGTCTCAAATTCAAACAAGAAAATATACTGTATACATACATGTTATCTGAGTAAATGACTCAGAAAGCATTTTTTCAAGCCTGCTGTATTACATTCTGTAATAATGCCTCTGCAGTTTCCTTTTCTGGGCCTGATGTATGTCTGTGTCCATTTACCAGACTCCTTAGCACAAGCCTAGAATTACCGCCAACTACACACACAGGATGAAAATGGTAATCTGAAGGAATTCAGTGAATGAGAAATAAAGACAAGAAGAGCCTTTCTAAGCCCACCGAATGTGCAGTGATTTATCTTTTACTTTTAAAGGAGAGAGCAGCCTGACATGTTCCGTGATTAAAGACTGAATTGTTGCATAAAGATGTCGAGCTGGACTTATTTAAAGAGATCTTGTTCACTTGAAGACAAAGGTGATCTTATCACGTGTTACCACTGCTAACACTTTTGTTACAGAGCTTGGAATACTGAAGATGGAAAAACAGAGTTTATGCAAAGTGTGTTTTCTTATATGGTGGAGGCTGGGAATTATAGTGTCTCAGGGTGTTTGTTGTCTTATTTCCAGGTTTTGTTTACTTTAATATCTTTTAAGTCTTTTGTTTTATGGTACACATGGCACTTGCTGTGCATGTCTCATGCTCCTGGTTCTGAAGTTATGCATTGCATGTTTTAATACTGTGCGTCTGTAATGGTAAATCTGATAAAGTCAAAAAGCTCTGAAAAAAAAAATAAGATCCATACACTTACAAGATATTGCACAGCGTATTTCCACTGAGTGATTTATTCAGCACGTTCTGAGAAAGTAAACTAAATGTAATTGGAGCTAGCAAACAATCTACTCCTATGTTTTCTCTTACATGAAGCATATTAATGTGATGCTCTTCAATCTTAATGTCTGCCTTCAGACATTAAGATTGAAGAGCATCTGACTGTCAGATAAAGAAAATGTGAGAAATTATCTGGAAAGTGAATTTAAAACCTGTATTTTAGAGGCGTTATATTTTGGAAAACTCTTGTAGCATAGAATAGCATAGCATGGGATTTAATCAACCATGGCTTTGTAGACAAATCCCAATAGCCTACAGAAAACATGGAGCCTGTTTTGCAGTGAAGTAAAAATTTCTAAGCACATATTACATTGTGCATTGTGATAAAATTAAGCTGATGAGTTTATGAACCAACTATACCATACATGTTGCCATCTCGAGTTTATGACGAGAGCAATGATGCCTTCAAAGTTTCCATAATGTAAAACCTGATGACACTGAGAACCATGCTGAAAGTGACTTTGAAACTGCTCTATTTCTAGAAGTCCTTCAACTTCGCATTTCTGCCTTTCCGAGAGACATTTTTTAACTGCTGTGGTGTGAAGGACGAGACCCCAGTAGGGTGTTGATCTATATCTATGCTGTACCACCTCCTGCGCTCTCTGGCAGTGCTTTAAAGAAGTGTGTCAGGATTGATTTATAGGGTGCCTACACTGGGTCACAATCCCATCAGTGTGGGAAAGGTGATGCCAGACCCATCCACATCTCATTGGTGGGTCTAACATGGCCTTAATGGCTACCTGCTGGTCTGCACCACAGAATGCTGGCATCCACATTCACTAGCAAGGGCTGCCATCGTGAACGCTGGGCTGCTGGTTTTTCCCAGGATTGTGGCTCAGAGGTGAGACTCAGTCACGAGTGGCAGCTCTGTAGTGGGAGACCCCCATAGCTCTCGCACCAGCAGGGGCTGGCGAAATGTCGATGAAATGTCTAGGTTGACTCAGTGGCAGAGTCCCATGATCGGCCAACTGGTACGTCCGTCAAAGCTTAAAGGCGAGGCAGATGTCGACGGTACTCCTTTCCAATACTGCATGCTCTAAGGGTATTCTGAGTGTCAGTAGTTCAGGTGGGTAGCTGCATCAGGATGCGTAGTCTGCAAAGGAACAAGTAATAGGTTTATCCCATGCTGAAAAGAGAAGCGAGAACACACAACGTTTCAGCTGTGAAGCAAGGCTTCACAGCCAAAATGTGTTTTCTCTCTTCTCAATTCAACATTGAATAAACCTATTACACACCTGAAGAAGGCTTCACAGCCGAAACGTTGTGTTTTCTCTCTTCTCAATTCAGCATTGAATAAACCTATTACTTGTTTCTGTGTGTCAGGATTTGAATTTTCTTGTTCCTGTTGTATTTAGGCCCAATCTAATGATGCATTGAAGTTACAGTTACTGTATGTCCATAATATTTGCCTCTCACTGCCATCTTCAAATTACAGCTGTTTTGTATCCCTCTTTTTAGATCTTTAACACAAGTTGTCACTGTGGTTAAGATAAATCCAGATCATTTCTCAAGCACCTCTTTCAAAGATATATTCACTGACCCATCAATATCCCAATAACTGGCAAGCTAGGCATTTATCCCAGCTGCATAGACCAGGAGCTGAAATGTGATCCCATTGCTTACAAGCATGTAGTATTGTGCTGTCTTGTTTCTCCAGATGCAAATGAACAGGCATTTTTTAAAACTTGTATTTTCTATTAGTTAGCAGTGTAGGTATCACAAGCAGATAATTTGTATTGAGTCAAAGCAGTTTATAGCCAATTGTCCTTGATTTAATTCAGTAATTTTGCATTGTGCAGAGATATGAGCCTGCAGTCATCTTTAAACCAGTACTGTAGCATTATGTGACTTTATCTTTATTTGCTTTTGTAAGAAAATGGTAACAGTGGTGTACAGTATTAATGTGAGTGAATTGATATCAATAAATGAGAATGAATGAATAATGTTCAATATAAAGCTTTCAAGGTTTGAACAAAACTATCGTAACAAACACCCACTCCTTTGTTTGATTCTTTCCGCAGGCCTGAGCTGGACACAGAGTGGACAGCAATCAAAGAGCCCATTGAGTCCAACTCCATGGTTCTGAAGGGGCTCGTCCCAGACACACAGTACCAGTTTGTTGTAAGAGCCGTCAATGCACATGGGACCAGCCAGCCCAGTGAAACCAACATCCAAGTCAGGACGCTCAGTAAGTGTGTAAGCATGGGACAGTTACAGAGGGACCTCGAACGTCTGGAACCCAGTGACAAGCAAAATATGATAGATTTTAGTGATACATGATATGAGTATGATGTCATTATGAAGTATTAGGTTATGTTTTATGGTTTGGTTTGAATGTTGTCAACTGCTTAATTGCATGGCAAAGCATAGCTTATCCATGTGTGAAGCACATGCGCTGATGCTGGGAGACCACTGTTTAACAAACTCCCTATCGCTGAAGTTTACTATGAACAGGCCTTAAATAGCACTGGATAGAACAGACTTCGGTATTCACTGGGACCCCCCATACAGCTCTTCAGAATTCAGAAGGCCATGTGGTTCTTTACTCCAGTGAAGTGAAGGGAAAATGTGCAGCTCGCTGTTAATATTGTCTAGGAACTCTGTAAGGGCAGCCCTTTTATTTCCTGCAGGCGAGCTAACAGACTGGCAGCCCATTTCTACATCAAGGCTGCTGTCTGCACATGCCTCATAAAGCCGAACAAAGCAGATATATCGCGTGGGCTTCGAAATTTGCCTTTAAGTCAGCAGTGACCTTTTTTTTTCCCTGAAATGGCATTGCTTCAGATGCTTTGCTTGTTGTGCTGACCTCACTTGGCTTCTCCAAACGACTCTGCATCCTGCGCGATTGGCTGTGTTCTGCAAGCACGCGGGTGTGCGGCTCTTGATGAGCTCTTCAGCGCACAGTGCTTATCAGAAACCCAAATAGGAAGAGCAGGGTCAGGCGACCCTCCATGGTAACAATAACAGCTCTGAGACAAAAGCGCGGGTGTTGACTAATGAGGTGGAACCAACTTCCTCTGTGGAGTTTCGCTCAGTTCATAAAAGCACTTCTGGACTTGGATTAGAGATATTCGGATGGAGGCTTCTTGGCTCATTAGCAGATCCTTTGACCAAATTTCTGGTCAAGCAATGTTAACTATTAGGGTGAAAATGCCGAACCAACTCATGAAAGGTTACTAATTCTAAAGGAAAATAATTTAATACACATAAAGAAGTAATGAAACCATGACTTTTGTTTTACCTGGCTTTGTTAAATGTACAGTCAATTCTTCCATGACTTGTAGGTTGCATGGAGTAATGTGTGACTCTGTTCTCCAGGAGTCCACCAGGTAACTCAGCAAGGAGAGGTGTCGACACAGAGCGCAGATTAATAATAATGATAATGATAATGATAATGATAATGATAATGATAATGATAATGATAATGATAATGATAATAATGATAATGATGATGATGATAAGAATAAAAAACTTTATTTTATATAGCGCCTTTAAAGGTGGCTTCTCAAAGCACTTTACAGAATGACAACAACAATAAATAAAAAGAATACATAAGATAAAACACAATTACAATATATAGAGGAGACCGTGGATGGTGGTACTAAGAAAAGCAAAGGGGTGAAGAATGGAACCAGTGAAGTAAAGGCTTTTCTAAAGAAGAGGGTTTTGAGTCTGGATTTTAAAGAGTTTAGAGAAGGTGACTCTCTGATATCCTTGGGCAGAGAGTTCCAGAGCTTAGGGGCATAACAGGAGAAGGCCCTGTCACCCATACAATGTAGAGGGGCTTGGGGGACAGTAAGGAGACCAGAATTAGAAGAGCGAAGGTTGCGAGGTGGGGAGTAGGGTGATAATAGTTCAGACAGGTACTGAGGTGCCAAGCCATGCAAAGCCTTATAGGTGAGAATGAGGATTTTAAAGTCTACATGGAATTTGACTGGAAGCCAGTGCAAGGACTCCAGGATAGAAGTAATGTGATCATTTGCGCTAGACCAAGTCAGGATTCTGGCTGCTGAATTTTGGACATACTGCAGTTTGTTCAAAGTAGATTTAGATACCCCAGCGAGTAGAGCATTACAGTAATCAAATCAAGAGAACACAAATGTGTTGATCAGCTTCTCAGCCACAGTTAGTGATAGCATAGGGTGTAGTCTAGCGATATTTCTGAGGTGAAAAAAAAAAGATGTTTTGACAGTATGCTGCACATGTGGGTTGAAAGTTAAGCCAGAACCGAATATAACCCCAAGGTTTAACCCCAGTGCTCATTAGGCTGAGCACTGTTAGCACGGGTTGAACTCTGAGTCGTCCAGGGGTCTCTTGGTAATCTTAGGAACTGTTACCACTGCGACTGACTGGAGCTTGTATTTTCATCAAATAGAGCTGGGTCAAGTGCTCCCCCCGACCCTGACACTTTTATCTAAAGCAACTTAGTCGCATCCTGTTGGGATGCAAAGGGTGAAGATAACTGTACAAGCCTTCGGGTCTGTGGTTTGCATTGTGCACCTGGAGCGTTCTAGCATGTTGTCAGCTGTTGTCTCCTGTACTTGAATGGAGGTTGTAGTAGTTGTTGTTGAATCAGAAAAGCAGAGCTAATGAGATGCTGGCCACTGATTCAGACTGAAACTGTTAAAAACAGCAGGATGCGGGCACTTAACTCCACTACATTTTATATACAGTGACAACATTTATGAACACTTTTGTAGTAATCATTAACTCAGTAGTCATTTTTAAGTGTTGCAAATATTTTAGTTTACATGTACAATTTTTGGGATTTAGTGGTTTATGCATTTGTTCTTAGTTGGTTTTGGAGTATATGTTTATAATATGACTAATTCGCCACTTGTGAATTAATCATTTATTGTGGAACAATCTTAATATGTAGCTTGTTTTCAGCTAATTAGTCTTAGGTGATGTACAGTAAGACCTATGTAGAGTTAAATGTGAGCATCCTGTTGATGGCTTTGTTGTAATGTAACAGGAAGGAATCTAATGAATTGTAATATAGGTCACACACTTGAGACTTTATTAACTGTTCTAGTAGTAGTTGATTAACATTTTATTGTTTTCAGAATTTGTTTCAGGAGGGGCTTTATTAATAATAATACAATAAAGCAACTGTTCAAGATTTCTCAGAAGTAGTTGTCAGCAGGTTGTTCAGGAAAACAATTCCTGAAGGAAGGCTGTCCATGCTAAGGACAGTGGCTCTCCAGGGGGAAATGTGGAGGAACAGATGTGCTTGAGAATTATTTGTTACTTGGGGATCTCTCACCTTGGCAATCCTCTCTGGGAACCTCAAATGTCATGGAACTGTGCCAGAACTGATACAATCCATAAATACAGTGTTCAGCTGTGTGAATAAGTCTATCAATTAGCCTTCTTTAGATCCACTGAGACGAGAGCTCTTTCTGAATTGGGGAACTCAGTCAATTTATTTGGAATAGTAAAATGACACTTTTATCCAAAGCAACTTAGTCGCATTCTTTTGGGATGTAAAGGGTGAAGATAACTGTACAAGCCTTTGGGTCTGTGGTTTGCATTGTGCACCTGGAGTGTTCTAGCATGTCGTCAGCTGTTGTCTCCTGTACTTGAATGGAGGTTGTAGTAGTTGTTGTTGAATCAGAAAAGCAGAGCTAAGAGCTGAGATGCTGGCCACTGATTCAGACCGAAACTGTTAAAAACAGCAGGATGCGGGCACTTAACTCATTTTATAAAATCTGTGCTTTAATATGAAGTAATAGGAATTAGGAAGTTGTAAAACAGTTCTTCTTTTAAGATGCACATACAGTATTGTTTCATGATTATCCAGACAGGTGTCACACATTACAAAGAAGCTTACAAAGCAGATTTTGAAGAAATGAATTTGTTGGGCTCAGGATAAGTGGAGCCCACAGAACTTGTGGTGATGAACATAATACATTTGAGCAGAGTCTCCAGTGTCATGATGGCCTTCCGCTTTATATTTTGAATCTAATAAATCTGACCAACCGTAATAATATTCTAAAATATGCACAGCTTGGTATTAGGAAATTTTTGTTAATGTTGTGAATGTTATGAAGCAAGATAACAGCACATCCAGTCCAGCCCAGATTATAGTGAGTGATGTAAGCAGCAATGTCAATTCACAGCGGTATCTTCCCTGCTTTAATGCGATTCTATATCCGTTTGGGAAACTGTTATAATTTCTTTTGAATGTTGTTTTATTTAAATTCAAATTCAGGTTTTATGTGCTGCAGAGTGTTGAAGAAATAGTATTTCATTATTTTAGGTTTACACATTATTTACACATTTCCTTTACATTCTTTTATCCTGTCACAGTGTCCTGTCACCTAACATAGCCAGGTGTACATACAGTACACGCAGTACTGTGGGTGTATTGGCTTCCTCAGTGTTTCCTGCTAATTTATTTATGCATTTTTGCATTGACAGTTCATTGCATTATCAATGCAGAATTTACTTTTCACAACCTATCCATAACCTCACAGTGTGTTGAATCTGTTTTAAAATAACTATAAATGTCAGGCTTACTCTTTTCTTTTATTTAAAAAAAAAAACTCATGTCTACCTTTAGCTGTCATTTTTAACACTGGATTTATTTTAATTGTAACACTGCTTCACAAGAATACTGTTACTCATCTTCCCAGGAAAGTAATGCAGGGCTCAGTGCAAGATGGGAGGTCATGATTTCACTGTGACCTCTGGTCCTAATTAGTTTGTTCTGGGACTGCTTGTACGAAAAGAAAAAGTGTGGAAGTGCTGCACCTGGAGCATAGTGTAGCCCAGGTCGCAGGTGCTGACTGCAGTCCAAGGACCGTCTGGCCTATTTTGAAGAAGAGACTTCATCGCGAAACCCCAGTAGCCTCTCCTCTCACCACATGCCAGACAGCAAAGCTTAATTAATATATATATATTCTACTCAACAATGGCCTGAATTGCCTTTTGAGAGAATGTGTTCTCCTGCATGTGTGAGAGAAGTATTTCTCAACCCACTTGGAAGTTGAATGTACAGTATACAAATATATAGCAGAAGAAAAATTCTAAAAATAAAATGCAATAAATTTTAAAACATTCACATTTTAATGCTTTTCAAATTGGCTATTTTAATATTTGGTGTAAACTGAGTTGTATGGTTCATGTAATTGTACATCTTACAACATAAATTATAATATACTGCAGTATTACCCTGCATCTCTACAAAGGATTATACATGTCCATAGAAATAATTACATATATTCATGTATTGATATTTAACAGTCCTTCCTAAATATTTCCTAAACATGTTTCTGGATGTGTTTCTTTGTCATCCAGTCAGTTCCAGTAATTCAGCTTGTGGTTTTCTGTGAAAGGACAGGCTAAAACGTCAACACAGTTTGAATAGTATCTATTCACAAGTTGAGAATTCTGGGGAGCATTTTTGATGTAGGTGCCAGTAGGTCTCAGGTCCCATGCTTGGGAGATGTGCGGGACATTTAGTAAAGGAAGCCTCTTTATAGTTTTTAGTGGTTAGGGAGCAAATTAAATGGTACATCTTACTGGGGTTAATCTTAAGAAATTTGTAGCAAGGAGTAATGGCACAGTGCCTGGAGGAGGTCAGTGGGCTGCAGAAACTTTCTATGGCTTTACTGCACTAGGCCTGTTTCTTCCAGCTATCCCCACTTGTAAGTGTGAGAACACTTAAGGGTGTTATCATTGTGGACCAGGAAGAATAGGAGTGCAGGCAGACAAGGCACGATGGCTGTGAAAGAGTTAACCTGAGGTAATTGAATTAAGTGTTAAATCCTGGCAATTTAGGGAAGGGTCTGCGAGGGGCTACTAGTCTCTCTTCAGGTGAGAAAATCTGGTTACCAGATTACCAGACAGAACAGACCAGAGCAATCTTGAGACCTCGCCCCTCCCCACAGACAAGTCAGGCCCACAAATCCACCCAGGGTGACTGTCTCTCTCTCTCACACACACATATACCGAACATGTCTGGCATGTACAGGGTTACTAAACGCCATGTGTTTGGAAAAGAAATGTGAAAAAAGTGTACAAAATGCAGTGGGTTCAGTACAATATTTGCACCTTTCATTCTCCACATTGCGATGCATGTTGAGTGTGATTTCAGGCTGCTGATAACCAGAGCTGTTTTTCTCTTTTGCCTTTTGTTGAGGGAGTATAGGAGGTTCCCGAATAAGAGTGTGCGCTATGAGGTGCACAATTTTGGGTACAGAACAGCAGCAACACAGATTCTGCCATCTGCCACCGATATTCTGTGTCTCGCTGTCAGTACTCCATCCATTTCAGGTTGCATGTCTTTGCTGTTCACTCTACCAATATAAAATCTTACAGATTTTAAGCCACATGTCATCTTGAGTGCATATTGTGTGGTGCATTATTGATTTCTCAATAAACCCTTTCCCTGTGCCATACTTTATGGGTGAACATTCTCATTTTTTTCTCATTATGACAGACCTGATTCACATTCTCTTATTTGTATGCATATCTTGTTTCCTTACATCTGTGGGATGCAGTGCCTTATTCATTTCTCCTCCAGTCAGACAATTCTTTATCATCAGCTCATGTTTTATAGTATATAAACTACTGCAGCATGAACAGCCTGGCTTTATTCCAAGATTTGCATTTTGAATGTGTTGGAGTATGGATTTGTCCACTTCCTAGGAATAAAAAAAAAAAGTCATCCAATATACCATCTCGGTGCACTATAGAAATTTTGAATCTTCATCGCTTGGAACAGAATTGTTCAGGCGTAGCTGAGAAGTGTTTGCTTTGATGAGCACTGTAAATACAATGTTACTCTTAACACAGAGCAAAAGATCACTGGGTCAGGAATAAACCTAAGACAAATTGCAAATCTCTAACTTTGGGAACACTGATTTCTGGCATTGAAAGATAAGTTCTGCATCCTTGTTATCTTTTTCTTAACTTTGTGTCACATTCAAGACTAGAGAGGAGGGAAGCATGGAGTGGATTATATATTTTTATTTTTTTGGGGGGGTTGGGTGAGTTCAGGACACCTGCCATGAATTTACTGTACTGTATGGTCTGTAAAAAAGTAAAATATTTTACTATTATCTTACAATCATCTCGAAATAAATTATAAAAGAGTCTAACTTCAGAAAGGTGTCGGAATTAGCATTTGTTTTAATATGAGTAGCTGCCTTTCCTAAAGTTTAAAGCTGGGGGGTGGTGTGAACTTCGATCGGCAGTCTTCCCTTCTGCTTCAGTGCCTGGTCTGAAACATACCTGTTTTGTCTCCGGTCTCCTTGGGTTTCACGGTCATGAAACATGCCAGGACATAACTCGGAGCACTGCTTTAAACAAGGAGTGCGGCCCCATGAGAACTTCAGGCTGGTGGCGCGGGGATAAAATGTCTGTAACTGCATCGCCCCTGTCGCAGTCGTATTTGCAGAGGTCTTGTAATTGACATGGAAATGCTTCCATCACATCCCTGAGTAAATTCCTGCTGACATTTTAAATGTCAGTGTCCAGTGTGTTCTTAAAAGCGGGCCAATTTTAGGTAATGAAATCATTGGTGTGTCATGACTTGGGAGCTGAATATGATTGTGGTGTGCTTATCCACAGATTTAGTGCTCTGTTGTCTTTTATAGGTTTCAAAGATTTTTTTTTCCCCACTTTAAAATTTCCTCCTACGTTTCTTGCAGTTCCCAAAAATCTCCACCTGAAATTCTCAAACCGCATTTGAATGAAAAATAAAACTGAAAACTATTTCTCTATTCTGTGACTGTGCCACCTCTGCCTGTATTGGCACATTTGTATTTAATTTATCACAGATTCATTTTTACACTTTAATTTGCTACATTTTTGATTGACACGGAAATTGGCGGATTATTGCACTTTGAGAAATTGTCCCCTTCTCTCCGCACCTACTGTACCAGTTCTGATATTTTGTTCAAGTCTCATCACAAATGTTTACAACTATACAGTACATCTTCTTTTTCAAGATTCTTCTAAAGTTAATGTGGGGAAAATAGGAAAACACACATTGGAAACCCATGTAAATCTTTATATATTGTATATGCTCAGGTACAGGTTGGATCCAAAAATCTAATTTGAAGGGTGAGCTGAAGAGGTACAACACAGATTTAACGAATCCTTTATTGCAGATAAAGCTAAGAAAAAAATTGCACCCCTCTTTATTGGGTCAGGCTGCTCACCGTTAAAAACATATGACATGAGCACACTTTGGCAATGCAGAAAGTCCCTTTTATCAACCACATGTCCATCCCATGTAGCAACTCATTAATATCTGGGTGCCGTTGACAGTAGATGCCCAGTTCCCTGTAATGCCTGAGCTCTTCTTTACAGGTACTGATGAGCTGGGCAGTGGACATCATGGGCAGAGCTACATCACGGACTCCAAGATCAATGACGAGGTGGCCTTTGGGATTGATGACTCAGACTACGATATATACATTGAAGAGGTGGGCAGTTCTCTCAATCTCGTGTTTTTCTTTTTCAGTACTTCTCCCAGATAGTTGCTGTGTCCTGCCATTTTTGAGAACACAAGCATAGCTCACCTTGTAAAGCCTGTCATTAGCCAAGGTTCCAGTACTGTTTTCTCCTGCCACAAATAAATTGGCAGCACCTATTAGATTACAATTTTTAACTTGACTATTACATGCAGCATTGTGGAGTGATGGTTACCTTTGTTGTCTTACAGTCCTAGGGTCCTGGGTACAATTCTGAGCTGGGCTTCACACCTGTTTCTCCTCATGTTCCTGCAGCTGCTTTTGTCTCTTGTTTCTCTCCACCACTCAAAGACATGCTGATATGTTGATTGACCGGTAGTAATTTGCCCCTTCCATGAGGAGAAGCAGATGCTGGAGCAGCTCTGTTGCAAGGCTGAACACAGTATAGTGCAGGTGATGATAACGGTGTCATCTATGATGGACGCCATCGACAGCCATGCTCCAGGATGTGAAAGGAAAGCCATAGTTCTCTGGATATAAATTTGTTGTCACTGAATTGTAGAAAATCCCATGAAAGCATAGCTCCTCTTTTCTTAAAAGAAACTTTCAAATAATCAAAAATCCAAACAGAGCTTTGAAAACAAACCAAAGAAAACGTATCATTACTGCATACTTACTTGAGTTGCTATAAAATTTTGTCGTTGATCACTACTACCTCAAGTAATAATGAGCTTAAACAAAATAACACCTGTTGGCATTCCAGTTGTCATCTCTTCTAAACCTATTGCAATATTGTTCCTCCTTCTGCTGCAGCTCAGGCCGTTTCCTGCCATCAAGGAGGACAACAGGAAGTTCCAGTTGGAGGCTAAGGCCTCTCCTGCCTCTCAGACAGGAAAAGGGAGACTGAAGTACACAGTGACCACTACCACGTCCACGACTCCAACTTCTGCCACTACTACCACCACGCCTGCCCCCACGACCTCCGCCCCCACGCGAAGGGGTGGCACCATGCCCCGCCTGCACGATCTGCCCTGTGACGACACGGTCTGCCCCGCCGACAGCTTCTGCGTCAACGACTACGACAGCGGCGGCTCGCGCTGCCACTGCAGCCTGGGCAGAGGGGGGCCCTTCTGTTCGGAAGGTGAGCAGATGCTATTGGCTCCGGGGTCATCACATGATGAGTCACATGTGCCTGCCAGAGGGGCCTACTTCAGATACCATGAAGTGGAGACTGCTTTTTAAAAACACTGCCCAGAGCTAACGACAGCCTGACAGTGCGTGTTGGCCGGCAAAGCAGAATAAACTCAGGCCTGGTTCTCATTTGTGTATTTCATGAACGGCGTTGACTCTGATCAGGGGGTGTAACTGTGTGAGTAATGTATAACATTACAAAATGGTTTCTTCAGAATGAACGTTATTTTCTTCTGTTTTTAATTTTTTTCCCCCCACGTCATTTTGCTTGTGTGCCCTGAAGTGGAAAAGATCCTGCCAAGCATTTCTCAGGATTTAGGGATAAAGGGATGTCTTGTCTCGCGGCTGTGAAGGCACGTTTTGTCTTGCGTGTCTTGGAAAAGAGAATTCTTAGGAATCACAAATGTACCTCTCAGAACTTGGCTTTACTGAATTGATACTTAAGCTTAAGTTTTTGGTTCTGGCATGTTTTTGTTGCAGATCTTGAGACTGTATAGATGGAAAAAAAATGAGACAAAATAGCTATTGCTCTTTTGCAGGTTTGCCAATTAAATGTATTAATAATTTAAATACTGAGAGTAAACACGAGTAAGTACAGGTTGCATAAATTATACATTCCTAGTTCAATTTTGCAGTTTTTATAGCAGCCCTTCATTGTGTTCTTCCAATTTGTTTGATCTGTTTTAACTGTTGATAAGTATTTTAAGGGGAGCTTAGTGTTCCGTTTGACATGTCCTGCACTGTTTCTTTTGTGATCGATATTTTTTTTTTCATCTTTGAGTTGGAGTATCCTGTCATACCTTGCCTCACCTTTATAACTTCTTTAAAGAAGATTTTCCAGCACATCTTAGTAAGGGGGTCAAAAAGAAACCCCATCATAACATATAGAATACGTCCTTCAGAGAATCATCACAATCCTCCTCCAGCAGTTTCTTCTCGGCTCTCCCAGGGAACTAATAAAAGGCAGATTGGATCAGAAGCTAGATCACATCAGGAAATTTTGCTTTGCTCCATTTTTCACATTCTTACCTCTTAATCTACCCTGAGAGGAAACTCTAATGGAATCGTTGACTACCATTGTGATTATTTTTAGTTTTCTTTTTTAAAGGTGAAACATCTGGGTATTACTCCAATTTGTCCCAAAGGTCAGCCTAATGACAGCTCCTTCTCCATGGTCGAGGAGGGAATTTCAGACTAATTTTAACCACTGACACAGCCAGCTATGACTTGCACTCAGGAGGCAGTATAATGGTCACACTACTACACAGTGCATGAGCATCATACCATGTTCTGCTATTATGAATATAACCAAATAACAAAACAGATGTATTTGTTTTAGACAAATAAAAATCTATGTACTATGTACATAGTCTAAAGTACTATGCGCATTGACTTATGTACGTATAGAGATTGAGTGTTCATAAAACATCTTTTTTTTCTTCATTAGCCTTTTGGTCATACAAAGATGTGTATATGTCCTTCGGGAATACTGAGAGCCAGTAGATGGTAGTAGTGGTACTCTGGGGAGATGTTTGCTCTTTAGAGAGTTTACGTGGGCGCAATCGGGGTTTGGACTTCTCCCAGACTGGCGTGCGAAACTCTGTTCATTGCAGGATGAGAATGTCCACTAAATCTGCAGCAGTTCTTTGATGAGATGGAGTTTATAAGAGAAGTTTGGGAGGAAGGTTAGATCATAATCTCACACACTTCCACTCGTCTACATATAGAAGTCATGCACCCAGGACTTCCCTTCTCGTATCACTCTCTCACCGCCCCTCCCCATCCACATCCTTGTAGCAGCTCCCTAGCTCAATCCTCTCAATAGTGAGGGGATGTTTGGGCAGCGTATCCTCACAGCTAGACTGCCGTTCCCTCAGATAGGTCAATCATGACAGATACTCTATACTGTACATACAGTGTTTCATCCTGCTGTCACATTCATTAGGATCTTACCCAGCTACTGAAAGGGCTTATTAAATTTGCATTTGATATATTATTGTATTTTGTTGTATAGAATACTATTAGTTATTAATAATATAATAATAATTCCTTATAAAATCAACTAATAGATTTGAGTTATCTAATTAAGTAACTTATACAGAGAAGTTACTTAATTAGATAACTCAAATCTATAAGTTGATTTTAATTATTGTTTTCCAGCACTTGTAATACATTTTATATGAGTATGACATTTTTTCTTGTAACTTAAAATAACTTTGTAAGAGCTAAATATGATTTGTTAAGGCTGGAAGAGAAACCATAAGAGATAATACTGAGGAGTGGGGTGTAAAAAACACTACGGTGAGCGAATCCTTCACCTGTCCTCCTTTTGTGTTACTACAAAATTTTGCTTTGTGAAAAGTGAGGGAAATTTCCGCGCTTAAAGGGGACTTGAGGCAGTTAGTATACAATACGTGTTGGTTTATTTATCATATTGATCCTCAGTGATGTCCGTACAATTGTTTCTGAGCCCACAGAGAGAGCTCCAGCCTTGACCTGTGAAGGTCCTGAATCATGGTAGTAAGCTATGCTCCTGTATAAAATAGAACCCTAAAACATCTGAAATGCAATACTTCTTCCCCCTATCATGCATTAAAAGTGCAAAGCAACCATGCCTTTGTACCTGATCTTGATAATCTAAAACAAATATGCTTGATTATTATTACATAACAATGAATTACAAACAACATACCATATGGGCTATGAAATAATCTTTATGTTGTAGAGTGCCGTATGTACAGTGTGACTCAGAAAACCGTTAATGATGCCAGTGCAATAGAGTGATATATTCTGTTGCGTAACGTAAACTTTTTTGTTATGAAGTTTAGTTTTTTAATGAGATGGTTATATATTACCATAGTCATTTATGTTTTTTCATTGTTTTTTTCACGAAGTCTGGTATTTCACCAAGATCCGCTTCCTGTTTGGATCCCACTTGATCAGAGGTGCTAGTTCCCCAACATTATTCCAGCGAAGGCTCAAATTCCTGCTTTGCAAGGGTTAAACATTTTCCAAAAAGATATCGCTTCTGCTTCTGTTGTTGCTCTGCCCTCCCCTGAGAAACCGATCCTGTCAATATTAAAGGTTTATGGTCTATGCATTAATCCGAACCCCGTAAAGGAAACAAATCAATGTTGTGTTGCACAGGGCTTGTTTGCTCATTGAGCTCGATTTTTTTTTTTTATGTCCATGAAAAACATCATACAGCCACAGCTCGGTGACCTTGCCCCCAGCACATCGACTCATGTGGTGAATGATGCCGAGCGATGCATTAATCTGCCTGCAGACAGGGGTGCTATTCAGGACTTCCTCCTGGCAAAACTCACCGTTCGCTCACATTCTCCGTTCTTAAAGCCACCCCCCCTCCCCCGCCTTCTCCTCCAATTCCCCACGACCTCAGTCTGATGAGTCACTTCCACGGAGTGCTGAGAGAAGCCTGCTGTTTTCCAGAGAATAATCTTTCCTTTCAGTCCAAAAGCAGTGCTACAGGGTGACCTTGTTGCCTTCTATATTTTATAACTGAAAACAAATCTGTTCTTTTATTAATTAATCAGAAAACATCTCCCGATTTCATATTTTGTTTTACTTTGGCAGTGCAGGATATTTGTAATGTGCGCTGAACATCAGTTATTGGGCTTTTCCCTTAACTGGTTATTGCCATTTTAAACCAAAATATTGTGCTTTCATTGTAAAATCCAATGTTTAATATTTCAAACGCCCTAACTCGCTTTGCAAAATTAAATTCAGAATCCTAACATCTTTCTAAAGCTTTTCTCTGTCCATGAGTAGCATTTGTCTCAATGTCTATTTATCCAAGAAATTTCGTGGATGGTTATCATGTAGTATAAAGGACAACAGATGTTTATAATGTTACGCTACAGTTCTGTAAATCTTGTGGAAATAGCAAGACAAATGCTTATGTTATTAATTGAAAATGAGGAATTCAAAACCCCAAATTTTTAAAATCCAATAAGAACTGAAGTCTTCTCTTAAGATCAGATGCTAACCATGATGTGTAATGTGAATTTAGAGCACTTTGGTTAGTTTCTGAGAGATGCGGCAAGGTGAATAAAGATCTGAGATTCTTTGATCCATATGTTAATAATCGACTGCCTGCATTTCTCCTCCAGGTGTTCCAGTCCAGTATCCAAAGTTCTATGGCTTTTCCCATATGGCTTTCGAACCACTGAAGAATTCCTATCAAACGTTTCAGATCACCATTGAATTCAAGGTGCGTTCACTTGAGTGTCCAGCAGAGTAAGGAGCCTTGATCGGTAGTAAAGATATTTGCAAGCACTCAAACACTGAGATCCAGTCATTTGTTTGTGTTAAAATCTGAAAGCTGGTAGCTGTGAAAAACTGGAAAACCCTTATAATCTGTTCTGATGCAGAAGTAAGGATAATAAAGTTTAAACACCTCCTGAAGTCAGATTTTGTTTTTTGGAGGAAAGATGTCAAAGGATGTATTCTTTATTTTCATGTTCAATGTTGACTAAGGAACATTTACCAAGGAAACTTCAAAACAGAGTGAAGAGAACCATTTTACTTGCACTGTGTTTCTGCAATTAACAAAGCAATTTCAGAGTAAAATCCTTGTTTTTTTTTTTGCAAGAAACTGAAACTAGTTAAAAAATGCAAACCTGTTAACAATTACAGCACAATTGACATTTCAGTCAGATTTTAATGACCTGAAAACGTAAAACAAAATCTTGTTCTTTGAAGACAGGCTAAGAAAACTGTAATATGCAGTGTATATATATATATTTCCCTATGGTGTCCAGAACTTTTACTTCAGTGTTTGGTCCCCAGTTCATCCCTTTATCTTTTCTAGCAAACTTCCAGGTACCAGCAGAACATTCCAGACTGACCGTTGTGTTTGAAGACTAGGCAATTGTCGTTCATTTTTCACTGCCTCTGCTGAAATGTAAATGACATTTCTTGCCCCTTTTGTTTAGAATAATAAGCTCTACTCTTGAATGGCAATGGAGTATCAATTCAATTTTTTCTTGTATCTTTGAGGTTTTGGTCCAAGTGGATTATAAAATATATTTTTTTTTACTTGTTTCTGCAATTGGGGTAACTTTTCAGAAAAACCCTGCAGATCTCTTATCGGTCTGCTGTGGATTGTTGGCCCCCCATCGCTGTCTAAGCAGCTCCTAAGAGCTGTGCAGTACACAGTATCGGACGTCTCAATAATCTGCTTTAATAGGTAACCCAATGTTTTGTTATGTATGTTTGAGAAAGGTCACAAATATTGGACACGGCTCAATATCTAAATAATTAAACTGCAAGCGAATCCCGAAGGCTGAAACTTCCTGCTCCAAATCCAGATGTACAGCATCGGTGTCTTGTTGGGTCAGTGTCCTCTGGTGGATGGGGCAAGGATAACCCAGGTTTTGTCGTATCCAGGCAGAGGCAGAGGACGGGCTGCTGCTGTACTGCGGGGAGAATGAGCATGGGCGCGGAGACTTCATCTCCCTGGCTGTCATCCGGCGCAGGCTGCACTTCAGGTGGGCAAACAGGCCCCCTGGGATCGGGGGTGGAGCTGCTGGTAGAGGGTGTAGGGAGCTAATGAGCAGTCGGCTGAGGAAGAGACCTGGAAGAATTAGAGCTATTGTACTAAGTAAACATGAAAGTTATTCAGATGTCCTGGTTTGAAAACCGAAGGATACCGTGGCTTCTTAGGGCCAGAGCTGGCACAAAACAAAGAGGAATTTGGAGACAAGTAGAGCTCTTTAAGATCTTGACGGGAACACAGACACTAGACCAACAATCTAAATGCAGTGATGCCTTAACCCTGAGGTGATGCCACAGTGACAGTGCTACTGTAGCTCCCAGTGTGGCAGTCAACACAGCTTCCATGCCAGGGAACAGGGTTGGACCTGTGCCTCATGTGGGTCAGTCATGCAGTAGGCACTATAGGAAAACTGTGCAATTCCATATTCCTTATTTTAATGTGGTCGGGCTCTACAGAGATAATGTAGGAGGAACGTCTCATCACAGTCATTGCTGGGAATAAGAAAACCAAGGCTTGTACTGGTTAGGTGCGTTTTGAACAGAATGTTTTAAGAAATAGGTTCATTGTGTCTATATCTGTTGTTTGTAATAAGATTTGAGGATCTGCTTTCCGCAGCAATCTGAATGTTATGGCATAAGTATCAGGCAGTTGGGGAATTTGGCCCTTATCTTTTTTCCTTTTAGTGAGTTTTCTAACCCTAGAAAACACGAGTATCCCTTATGTATAGTATGTCTGATAAAATGTCTCTCACCGTCACTGTCCTAGATGAAGATAAACCACTGTTGTACTTACAAAGGAGAAAAAACAGTTTTAAGTGTATTTTTTAATTAGGTGACACTCCTAAAGTTTATTTCATTCCCATGCAAAAATACTAAAACCCTGCTAAATTTGAAACTATGCAAGCACATTTTGCCTCTTCGATCCCTCAAGCACCGTTTGCTGAGTGACTTGAGTGACCCTGAACCCAGAGCCCATTTAAATCTCATCTCAGTCCTGCAGTTTTATCATTTAGCCCTGAGTGAGTTGTTTATAGTTGTGGGTTTGATTTTCACTAGCAGTTAAATGAGACGTGCACACAAAAGCACTTTTTAACAGAACGGAGCATAGTTAGTGTCCAATAATTACCAGTGCATTCAACGTTATTATAATTAATGAAAAATCATTCTGAATTCAGAAGGCAACCAACATTTTTACAGAACTGGCATAGAGTGAAGACTCACTGACCACTAATTGCTGTTTAAAGGGAGGCAAGCAGTTGGAAAATAAAAAGTGAAAATGAAGAGCCCTAAAGATAACAAGGCTAAACCTTAAAATCATGCTAATCAGTGTAAAGCTCTGATTGTGAAGGACTCCTAAGAGAAGCAGTGCCAGAGTTTTTGCAGTGAACATACAGAGGCAGGGGGAGTGTGGGGCACTGTCCAGGAAATATTAGATACTAATATCGGTGACTGCAAAAATGTAATAGTTGGGCTTTTATTCCTGTTTAAATACCTCCTCAGATTGTGACCTAGAGAGTCCATCCAGGCAATGGGCACACTTGCACTTCACAATGATATCTGTACCCAGTGTGATGCAGCCCAGTTTGTGATTTGTTTCCCACCCCTTCAGGTTTAACTGTGGCACAGGGACAGCTGTCATTATTAGTGAGAGCAGAGTCAGGCTGGGCAGCTGGCACAGTGCCACACTCTCCAGAGATGGCACGAACGGGTGGCTGCGTCTGGACAACGACACGCCTGTAACTGGCCGGTCCCAGGTAAGCAGAACCTTCTCCCGAGCTGCAGTATTGTAGGCAGGTAACATGCAGTAACGCACACATGTTTTAAAATGCACTATTGCTTTTGTCGTCCTGAATTCAACACTAAGAAAAACAATCCTGTAAACCTGAGAGCAGGCCAAAAGGACAGTGTGATTTGTTTAAAAGAAGAAAAGGACACATTGGTAAACTGTGGGTGATACAAACAATGAGTGTTTTAGTAATGAATAAATTGGCATTAAAAACAATACTATGTAAAAAAATGTAGTAAGATTGCATTGTGGATTTTTTTAATTAGCTGTGGCCACAAAATATCAATGTCTTACACAGATATAAACACTGAAAACCAGAAACCCTTGCCAGATAAGAGTGAACGGCAGTATGATATTTTTGTTGCTGTGCAGGATAACATTTGCCAGAAGAAAACATAAGAAAGCTTGAGAGCTGTAGAGGAGATATGGACTTGAGAACTGAGCCTTCTCATCTGTGGACATGTTAGACAAAAGGCAAAAACAGAAAAGAGCTTTGTGCTTGCTAGCCTCTGGAAAGATCTCACTTTCTGTAGGAACTGTATTATGACTGAAACTCTAGCCTTGCTTTCAGGAAAACAATGGCAGGTCAAAAGGTGAAAACTGGAGGCAGCTGGCCAGGTTGCTATCTAACTGTGCAGTCTTATTGGGAAATACAGTAAAAAGCAACTGCTTGCCAAGTGTGGCTGTGCCTGAATGATCTTTTTCCAGTCTGCTCACAGGATTTGTTTAGAAAATATTTTTATTAAATCAAATTTCCTGCAGACACCCTGACTGAGGCGAGACTTTGGAATTGGCAGCAGCCTAGGGGCTATTCTTGCTTGTTCAACAACCAGTTATTCATTGTCACAATTCACATAGTGCATTTGATCCCAAAGAATTCCAAAACACTTCCTAGGCAGAAAGCAGCTCAATTTATCCACCATTGAAGTGCCACCCCACCTGGGTAACACAGACCTGTCATGACATGACACAGACACATGTGTATGAGCACCTGCACTGTACAGCCGATCAGGGGGAAAACGGAGAAACTGCTTTGCCAGATTAATTAATAATTAAATAAAGGAGGAAATATAGGGAGTTTTGTGTAAACCCAAAGCTGAATTGAACCAGGACAATGGAGTCCACACCCCCATACTCTTAGAGTGTTACATTTACAGTGTTACATCTGCTCTCCTCCCCACTGATAGCTGATGTGTGGTGAGCGTTCTGGCGCACTATGACTGTCGTTGCATCATCCAGGTGGGGCTGCACACTAGTGGTGGTGGAGGGGAGTCCCCATTACCTGTAAGTGCTTTGAGTGGGGTGTCCAGAAAAGCGCTATACTGTATAAGTGTAAGCAATTATTATTATTATTATTATTATTATTAATATTATTATCCACTGGATACCATCTTTTGTGTTTCTCCAGGCTGCAGGGCCTGAGAGGGGGCTTTGATAGGATGACTTACTGGAGCGGTCACTACTCCTCCTTCCTTTGACTTTTCCACCCCTGGTTTATACTTTCCAAGATCCCTTGATTGACATGCCCTGACTGAAGCTCTTGTGAGCTCCAGTGTCAGTGCTCAGGAAAATAAACCCCTCTAGCTGACACAGCACAGTACAGAGAGCCCTCCCTGGACTTGATGTTGTGAAATGAGAGGTTGGGGGCGGAGCCAGTTGGCGTTTGCTGAACAGTGGCCCCAGCAGGCCAGGACTGCTGCCAGAAGTTAAACCAAGGCCACTCCAAGAATCTGTAGTGTGGCAAAGTGAGACACCAGCCAAGTTTGCGGTTCTCTGGGTGAGAGGAGGAGAGATTAGCCAGCTCAGAGGAGCACCGCTGGGACTGTTTCACAACAGGGAGAAGTGACCTAAAGTTGCCTGCGGAGAAACAAGGATGCGCCTTTTCTGTCTTACTGACATAGAAATGCATTGTGCGATAGGGGTTTTAGTTTATTTGCACTAGCTACCATGGGAGCTATATTCCCCTAGTTGTTTAGGCAAACTGAGGTCATGGTCATGATTTTACAGAACTTTGTGTCTTTATTTTCACACAGGGCCAATACACCAAGATCACTTTCAGGACTCCCTTCTATGTGGGGGGCACTCCCAATGCTTATTGGCTAGTGAAGGTGACTGGGACCAACCGAGGTTTCCAAGGCTGCGTCCAGATGCTGAACGTCAACGGCAAGGCCATCGATATGAGGCCCTGGCCCATGGGCCGAGCCCTGAGTGGGGCTGAAGTTGGTAAGCAGGCCGGAGCCCATTTGAAATGGTCAAAGAGAACGTGTCCTCTTGCTCTTTAGCAAAAAGCTTTTTTGACTGTGAAGCTCAGGACCACTGCACAGGGATGCTCTTCAGAAGTTTTAAATGCATCTGATGTGATTGTGCTGACATTTAACTCCTTACAATGTTGTAGGATAAAGAATGGCTATTGTAGGATAAAGAATGGCTATTGCTGTATCTACGAGGACATGAGCACCTCATTAATTTTCAAAGATTTAGGGGTGTATTTGAACAACCAGCCACGATTGGTAAATTAACCTTCAACTCTTTAAAACAACGAATGCAGATCGACTTACGCTGCATGCATGTAATTATTATTGTATTCCCATTTCTGGTCTTACTAATGTTTTGGAACAAGGTGCAATTTCTTTTTCTTTCAGAAATTACACCGAACTCGGTCTGATAGCTTGTCAGAATTAGATGGACAACAGGTGATGGAGTGTCCTGAGTTAATGATACATCGCAAGATTCATTTTCCTTCTCTGAATAACTCGAAAAGGGTGGAATGTGCAGACTAACAATGAGAGTGAAATATGAGTAGGAGGAATGCAATGATTTTTGTTAACTGCACAGTCTTTATAGCAATTTCTTTCATTGTGCTAGAAATAGAATTGCAGAACAGGTCTGGGGAAGAATTGAGGGGTTTGAGAAGTAGCCTGATGTAGTGTCTATTTAAATACAAAAAAAGCTTTAATGGAAATTAGTTTCCCCAAAGTAATTGAACTAAAGATTTCTATAAGTAAGGGCTAAGCACTGAAAAAATTTCCATACAGATTGTGTGATTAAAGGATTGTGTCTGAAAGTGTCTTAGCAGACAGTGATGCCATAAGACAGCCATTAACCTTCCTCACAAAAACCTGTTTTTCTCTCTGCTGTAGTAGAAAAGGTGTTTTTTCTTTTACATGATTACATGAATTTCAGTTCGTTACATATAACTTATACTCTATACTGTACAGCTGTACATAAGAACTTAAGACTGGTTACAAATGAGAGGAGACTTTTCTTCTCATTTAGATTTTTTTAGGTACAGGGTATTTGCTTAAACACGACGTCAGGGTAGCTTGTTCCTTTCACACTCCCTTTGCGTCTCAGTTTTATAATTCACTTTCACATAGTTTCCGCTTGTGTCCTCTGGTCAGAATTGGATCGTTGGTTCTGAAGAGGTCCACTGGGCTGACAATTTCAATGCCTTTTGAGGTTGTTGTGCAAAACATCAGTGAACATATGTTTTTAAATATTTAAATTCTCAACTAGTCGTGTTCATTTTAACATGCCCTTCTATGCACGTTCTGTACAGTATTTTGATTGCTAGAACTAGTTTTAATTCCTATAAAATGCTGTTGAGGATCTGTAAATACAAAACCTTCTCTGAATGAACTTGCATACACAGGACCCAATGTATAAAACTAACCAGCCTACAGTGATCTGACACTAAGAGGTGTTTCTGTCTCATGGCTGACTTGGCATTACATAAATCACGTTTTCTCGATGGCAGAACAAACAAGGTCTTTATCAGTTGTACTTGTCCCCTCTGTCTGACAGCTGTGGTTAGGATCTATCTGCTCTCTCGGAGAGACATTAGGCCTGGAGGTGTCTGAGCCCTGCCCATCACCAGCCTGGCAGAAAGGTTAACAGAAATGATCCAGCACAATTGATCTGTGAAGCGAGTATAAGCTGGGACAGGGAAGGGGAAAAAGTGATGTGGCCATGCTGTAACAATGTGGCAGATCTTCATCAAACATGCCTGTCAACTGGTTTACACACAAGTTTTAATACTCTCTGGCTGCAGCTAAAAAGGGACACTCCTACCAATTACATTTGTGCATATCATAGTTTTGAGGTGTATTTTTGTTCAATAATGCTTATTATGGTAACAGTAATTTACAAAGGTATAGCCAATTTGGGGATGGTTTTCTGCAAAACAACTTGGAGAAGCTGGAGATCAAGTTCGCTAGAGAAAAGGGCACAACTGGCCCTTGAATCAGGAACCTCCAGCTCTGACTTGTCCCAAAATCACTGATAGCTGAAGAAACTTTAAATATCAAATCAGGGATTGACATAAGCACATATTGACACCAGAATAATTGAACACATAAACCAACAATTAAATGCGCAGTGATCTGATCAGCTGAATACTGTAGATGTAATGAAATTGGTGTAACAAATTATTTATTGTAGATGGAATAGTATTAAGGCTTCTGATTTGCATTGTTTTCCCCTTGCAGTTCAGGTGAAGTTGATGTGGTAGTGTCTTACAGTATATTAGTATAATCTTAAAGGAGACAAAAGTCGCTTAAGAAATGATTGTTGTAGTGTCTGTTAAATACAGTAAAGCATCACAATTACAATTCAGAAAGTTGTTCAGCCATTGACTCATAGATTATTTCCATTTCTAGCATAGAGTATGTGCTTTAATGACCCCCTAGTGAGGGTGGCATGGTGGCACAGTGGTCAGCATTCCTGCCTTGCAGGGCTGGGGCCCTGGGTTCAGTTCCTTGGGTGCTATCTGCTTGGAGATTATGTGTTCTCCCCATGTTGGTGTGGTTTTCCTCCCACCATTCAAACACGTGCTGGGGGGTTAATTGGCTTCTGAGAAAACTAGCCATAGTGTGTGTGGTTGTGTCTCTGTGCGCCCTGCCTTGCACCCTTTCCTTACCAGGAACTCCCCCATGACCCTGTATTGGATAGAGCATTAGAAAAAAGAACAGAAGATAGACGGATTACTCATCAGTTTAAAGAGAATCACTCCTCTTTCCACTTCTGACTGTGTAATACAATGTATTACTATATTGCAATAGCTGTTTAGGTTTCATCCTGTAAAAATCTGCCAGTTGATCCAGTTTCACTATGCATTCCTCTGCTGTGCCTGAAAATGAATTCTTAACAGGAGAGCAGAAAATTAGGTGAGATACACTGAAGGCGAGAATTCAAAAATATATTCCTACTGAATCTTGCTCGTACATGCTGAGCTGATTAGCTCTTTTTTTCCTGCTGCTGTAATGTAAAATAAACATAAGATGAAGCTTTTAGCGTTAAACAGACAGCCAGGCCAGCAGCATGTCCCCCCACCGCCCCCCCACCTCCTGCACCAACACCTGCCCCAGGACAGCTCCTGTTGACCTTCAGAAGTTGTGCTGTTGCTGTAATTAGTAATTACAGGGTCCATATGCTTTTCTTGGGCCCCCTGTGGTGCTTTTCCAGTCCCTGCCCACCCTTAAGGGAGATTAGACCATCATGTCACAGCATGATTTTAAGGATACCTGTCATGTGCTACGGATTGTCCATAGAAAATGCAAGGGCAAAGGCTTGGACACCCATATAGATTTCGGAACTGCTGAAAGGATTTGCGAGAAAAAAAGAGATTTTACAACAGCCCCATTTCTTGCAAACAAAATTGCTAAACACAACTGGAATGGAGATAAAGGAAGAGCACCACACGAAAAAGTCCTTGGAAAAAACCTTGCACTGGAAATTCTCAACTAGAGGAAATTTCAGAATTTGTGTACAATTCGGAGAAAAGATCTTGTTCAGATAAAAAATGAATGGGTTGAAGAATTTATCCAGGTGCCTGTGTGTATTTCTTCCTTTTTTATCAGCTCATCTTCTTTCTTACAGGTGAGTGCAGTGCCAGTGTGTGTGAGGAGGTTGTCTGTGCCAATGGAGGGATGTGCTTTGCTAACAGAGCAGATTCCTACATCTGCCTGTGTCCGCTGGGCTTCAGAGGAAAGCACTGTGAGGAGAGTAAGTTACCTCGCAATCTGTTATCACAGAGTAATATCCTTCTTGAAGGTTTACAATGGTAACTTCACTCTTTCAGCACTCTTTTGTTTTCCCTATTTTACTTATATGCTTAAAGAAAGCATTAAAGAAACATTTAAGTCAGTTGGAACACATTCTCATTTACAATGGTCTACATTACAGGTATATACGGTACAACAGGGCATTTACTGGAGCAGTGAGAGTGGGGTACCTTCCTCAAGGGTACAACAGCTTTATCCTGCCTGGGGTTTGTGCCCACAACCCTGGTCTTTTCCCCATAACCGCGGCTTGTTCCTCTACAGCTCACCCTCTGATTCAACACCCCTCTCAGATCTCTTGTTTCTGATGCACAGGTTTCTGGTTGGCGCTGCCCCAGTTCAACGAGACCTTGTTGTCTTACGCTTGTGTGCCTTGGCCCCTGGCGCCTCAGCACTACCTCTCCTTCATGGAGTTTGAGGTCACCTTTCAGCCCACCGCAGAGGATGGGGTCCTCCTCTACAGCGAAGACACCAACAGCAAGGACTTCATCTCCATCACCCTGGCGAAGGGTCACCTGGAGTTCCGCTTTGACTGTGGCTCCGGCCCGGCTCTCATCAGGTACTTTACACATTAGGAGTGCATAAAGGCAGGCCGTGTGCCACACTGCGCTCTTGGTCACTCAAATAAGATACCAGACAAATTGCTTGCCTGTTGATAATCAATTAAAATCTCTGAATGCACTAAAAAAATCTAAAAGTAATGAAACAGAAATTTGTACCCACAAATAAAACAACATCCTTAAATTTGTAAAATCTCCATGCATTTTAATATATATATATATAAAAAGAGTAACATCTGGCCAATACAATATATTACACCAACAAAAAATGTACAACTGAGGGAGCTCAGGAGCCAAAGTTCGTTAGAGAAGACCACCACTAACTTCTCCCAGCATGCTTTACATCTTTCCATCTCACCATTCGCTCTGCTTACTTCTCTCATCTCTTCAGTTTCTTCATGCGGGCTGGTTCTGACAGTCTTGTCCCCATGGACACTTTGTTGTCCCTTATCCAAGCAGGTCTGAGCCAGTGAGTGCCTAGAATCCAATTCTTTACTCGCCAGTAAATCACTAAAACACATTAAGCTGTGGAGAGTTTTCTGTAGCAGTGTGTCCTGAAATTCTATTAAGGACAATCCCACGATGCACCCTGCTGGCTCTGGGCTCTGTCACAGGACATGACATTCATGCTTCCTGCTCATCGAGCTCCTTCTGCTGTGTTGTTGGAAGACGCCAGACTGAAGAGACTAATAGAGACCGCGTGGGCTGTGGACGTTAAGTGACAGCCAAGGGGGGCACATGATTGAACATGCCTGTCAAATCTGTGTGCTGCAGCAGCTGTGAATAGAACAAATGTGATTCAGACAGTGAGTTCCAGCATACAGGTCCTTCCCCTTGGACTGCTACTCCCCGGCCTCAACAGATTGAGTGTGGAGTGTGTCAAAACATCATTCCTGCATGATGTGTTAAGCTGAGAATTATTGAGTGAAAGTAATTTTCACACTTTACACTTAAACATCGTGTTTCTGTGCCACCAGGGCTGTGTTGTCTTGTTTTGTGGCTTATGGTTGCATGGGATACATAAATATTATGGAAGGGGATAAGTATGTCATCACAGATCCTGTTAGAGCTCAGCAGATCAGCGAGGCTGGACCTGGTCAGTACTGGGATGGGGGACCTTCAGGGATAGCCAGGTTCTGTTGAAATGGTGTGTCTGGTGTTGGTTCTGGTGGCGGTGTGTGTATGGCGACTGGCACACTTCGTGATGCAGGAGGTGCTCGACACACCCCTAGAATCCACATTGGGATCCTTTTGGGGAGCCAGGCTCAATACAAATTAAATTAATTCTCACCTCCTGTATAACCTAAATTGAATCAAGTGTTTCATGATTTTCTACCTCGTCCATGACACCGCTCAAGGTCCAGTTTCATGCCTTGAAAGCTCAGGGGAAACAAAACGAATGGCTGACAGAGTGCAGCCCACCTATTTGCAAAGAGTGTAGGGCTGCAGCGGTGAAAAGACCAGTGTGTGAAAACTGGAATCCCTCCCCATTAAAAGTCATGTGTTCTCTCTGCGGCAGGAGCGAGGAGCCGGTCAGCATGAACACGTGGCATGAGGTGCACGTCTCCCGCACAGCCAAGAACGGCATCCTGCAGGTGGACTCCCAGAATCCCATGGAGGGGATGGCTGAGGTAATTACAGGTCACAGGACGTTCAAACACAGGGCATTTGCAGCTGTTCTCTTCCTGAGGAACTACGGTGAACCGCTGAAATATTCACAGATTTAAGTGTCATGAGCGTTACATGTTTCAGATTACTTCTCCATTTTAAACCCGTTTTGACCCCACAAGTGTTGTGGACCAGGCTTTGGTGAAAATATATTTTCATTACAGATTGTAAGAGGATCCCATGAACTTAGTTTGTTATTTCAAAGACCTGATGATATTGTCTGCTTACAAGAAGCTAGCCCAGCACCATAATAACCTTAGATTTTTAGGGTTTGCTTAATAAAAAAGCATTGCAAACATTTCCATAATGGAGAGGCAGTTTTAATAACTGTACAAATTCTGAATGTATACAAGGAGAAGCCACTGCGATCAGCTCTGAAAACAACTGCAGTATCTGAGCTTCAGTATCAGTGGTCGTTGTAGCAGAAGGAGATACTCTAGAGATACTGCTGTAGATGTTCTCTGGAGTCCATGTGTTTTTGCACTTGTTCAGCAATAGTGTATTAATTTTATATATTGCTATATAGTATGAGTTGGTATTTTTTCTTCAGGTACAATCATGATGAATCAATTTTTTAAGAAAACTGCATACAAATCAAGCATTGCACTGTTTTCAAATTGGAATATCTATATATTTTCTGTTTTTTAGAATATACAAGTGTAAGGTACTTTCTTAAAAGTATGATGTTCAAACTGTAGCCTGTGTTTTTACTACTTTACCCTGCATGCCTTTCAAATTCAACTGCTCTGTCAGTATTTTTGTCATATTTGTATTCATTATGGCCTGATCTTTACAGTCCACTCCTCTAGGTCCTGTACTACATTCTGTGCAATCACAACATATAAAAGTGCAAAATCTTTTGGAACATGCTAGTCGAACACTGTGTGGCAAATCTAAATGTGAAGATCAGCGCTTGTGTCCGTGCCGTTTTACATTCTCATCAGCTCTTCCTCAGGAAAAGCAAAACGTTAAAATGACAGTTTAGCAAACCACTCACCAAAAAGAAAAAATGAAATCTTGCATTTTTTAGAACCACATGGTCAGGGACTGTGGGACGAGAACTTGGTCAACCTCTACACGTGGCCTGACAGCTGTGTTTTTTTGCTCGTAGGGTGCCTTCACTCAGATCAAGTGCAACACTCCCCTCTACATTGGGGGGGTTCCAGACTATGACAGCACCAAGAGGGGAGCAGCTGTTTTCAGACCTTTCAGTGGAAGTATCCAAAAGGTAATGACCAGAAATCTCCCCCATGGCCTTGGAGCAGAGATCCCTGCTTCTAGACCCAGAGAACTGCAAAGTCTTCTGGTTTCTCTGCATTCTGAGATCTTATTGATGGGACTTCATTACCATTTGCATTGGTAATCAAGGCTTCAGATCAAGTGCAACACTCCCCTCTACACTTCCCAGCCCAAATATGGGGTCTCGTTTTGGAGAAAATGCTTTCTATTTAAATGCAAGCTCAAGATGAATCTTACATAATAAGCATCCAATCTAGCTAGAATCCTACTATGCAGATTTATTGGTAAATGATAAAGCTGAATTTCTTTACCATTTCACTATGGACTTGACCTGAGATGTTTAGTGAAGGTGACTGCACCTTCTTGGGTAGACATCATATTTAATGACCTCAGAAGTTTTATAAGGTCTTTTGGTGCCTGTGCTAGGCAGGACAAAGTCACCATTCTGGCATACAGACCAGAGATCACAATGTAGTCATGCTATGTCTAGAAAGAAAAACAGTTATTTACGAAACACATGACATTGCTGACTAACCAAATCAAGCATGGCCCACACATGCTGTATAAATCATGAATATGCTCCAGCTCCAGCCACATAATATCAACACTTCATTCTGATGAAACCACGTCACATGAAAGCAAAAGCACAGGGGTTTTAAAGTCTCCTGACATTCTGCTCTTGCTCTGTGCCCTTTGCCCTGCAGATCATCCTGAATGACCGCACTGTCCAGCTGAATAAGGACTTTGCCTCTGGGGTCAACGTGGAGAACGCCGCTCACCCCTGTGTGAGGAACCCCTGCGCCAACGGTGGCTCCTGCAGACCCAAGAGAGATGGGTACGAATGTGACTGCTCACTGGGCTTCGACGGGCTGCACTGCCAGAAAGGTAAACCTGTGTGATCACAGGAGCTGAACTCGGACCCAAGGGATCAAAGCAAGGTTCTTCTTGTCCAAAGCAAGACTTCTTTTCCAGCTCTAAAATCTGTAGCTGTGTAGAATTTAGTGTTTGTGCCATGTGTCTTTAATTTGCTAGAACTACCACATGGAAGGAGGAATGTGTATTGAGTAACTCATAAAATTAGATGAGGTCATTTTGACAGATAAGTGCATTTTATCAGAGTATTTCCCTCAGTAAAGTAGTGAATAACCTCCAGATACAGAAATGAGTCTTATTTCAAAATAAATACTCTGTGAGTGAACTTTAAAATATGCTTCTAACAATGTTTGTGAATGCATTTGAGCACTTCCCATATAAATAATGCATATAATCATTGCCCCCGTTTTAAGTCATATATTACCATTGTGTTTCTTCAGGTAATATCACATTCTAATCTTTACTCCTGTTTTCTTTATTTGCTGCCTGTCTGAAGAATGTGGAAATTATTGCTTGAACAGTAAGTTCCTGCATACAAAATGAGATGACAGTGGGCTGCTTTCATGCCTAGATTATATCACAGACAGAAGGCTAATAGAATAGAAAGTAAGATTTTGTTAAAAACAAGTAAAAAAAAAAGCCTGCAGTGCCCTTTGTTGGTTTTTGGAATATGATCTGTGGATGAAATGCAGCTGGTTGTTGAAGACCACTTCTTGTTTGCCTGTGTTTAATTGGATTCTGACAGAGAAAATTGTGCATTCCAGGACCTTATCCTGTTTGCCTCTGAGAGCTTAGTAAGCCCAGAGAGGTCAGAGGTCACGTGGAAATGTCACTGTGCAGAAGCTCCAGTTGAGGTGCATGTTTCTTAATTTATCCTACAGTTCTTTCAAGAGCCATTCCTGGCATTACCATGGAATGTTGCCGGAATATGCAACATTTTTTTTTGATAGTCTGCTTCCTGTCAGTATTGCACAACAACTGCATGAAACATTTGGTTTGTGTTTTTTGAGAGGCAGAGAGAACCATACTGATTGAGGTTATGGACACTCAGAATTGAAGACATTATAAGACTCATTCAAAGAGTCTTACCATTTAATGAAGAAACCTATTCTTCTCATGTTTTAATTTCTTGTTTTGTTTTAATTTTTTTTGGACCGCAAGTTTGTCATTATTTGTGTATTATTACAAAGTCAGTTTGAGATAATCTATGCATCTAATACAGACTGGCCCCATCAAACACTTTTAATTCCTTCAAGAAAACTCAAAATAATGAACTTTTTGTGCATCCCAAATATTAATTAAAAGAGGTACATCAGTATAAAATCTCTGGTATATTTGATTGAGCTGTGTGTACATTTTTATAGAAATTGTTTGAACTGTTTTTTATGCTCCATCTTAAAAAATCCTTATGTATATTAAATGTTTCCTTGTGCTACTGTATGTCAGTGTTTAGGTATGTAGAGGCACATTCAGCCTTCACTTAAAAACCTTTCTTGCTCTGCCACCCGGAGGTTGTTTTCTGAAAGTGCATCCTCTGTTTAATTTAACAGCCGTCACTGAAGCCATTGAGATCCCTCAGTTTATTGGCCGCAGTTACCTCACCTACGACAACAGAGATATCCTGAAAAGGTCAGTTAATTTTCAAAGTTTTGGTTCAGAAACAAAAGAGATGGAATGAAAATCAGGCTTTCCACTGTATAATAATACAGTAATTTGTATTGTAGATTTTGTTCATCTAGATCCCAGTGATGATAAGCACCTGAAATAGTTTCCTCATTACTGTATGCATTTTCTAAAGAAGACGTAAGGTTTCTCTGAAATAAAAACAAATTTGTTATTAAAAACATATCAGACATGCCAAATCATGGTTACCTATCTCTTTGTCTATTGTTACAAGTGTACTGTAACTATTAATCACCTGTATTGTGTTTACAGTATAAGGCCTCCCAGTAAACATTCATGGGCAGCACTTTCATGACAGCAATAAGGTTGCCCCTAATTGTTCTTTTCCTGTTTCATTGCTGTCGTGAATCTGGCATAAAACTCATAATCCAGATATTATTGGTAAAATAATACATAGATGCTTTCCAGTTTGTGCTCCTAAAGCTCTTTCCGCTCAGTGAATACATGTGAACATTAGGGGAGCCTGAGGAAATTTGTCAAACCTGAGGACTGACTCCCGGTTCTGGGCAGTTGATCAGAGAGTGAAAATTTGCAGTAGTGCCTGTGTGTGTGACAGGCTGTGGTGCCTGTGTGTGTGACAGGTTGTGGTGTCTGTGTTTGTGACAGTCGGCTGTCGTTCACAGGGTGTCAGGCTCTCGGACAAACGTGTTCCTGAGGTTCAAGAGCATGGCAAAGGATGGGCTGTTGCTGTGGAGAGGCGAGAGCCCCATGAGGCCCAACAGTGACTACATCTCCCTCGGACTGCAAGATGGCGCCCTGGTCTTCAGGTCAGTCTGGGCCCCTGGTTGCTATCCCGGGTCCCTTACAGGGGAACCCCCATCATTTCAATGCTCTGAGACAGTTGAGGCTCAAGCAAGTGTGCTTATGTTTCTCAATACGAGAGAAGTGCATAATGACAGTTCCCCTGTCTGAAACTCATAGTTTATTAAAACAGTCACAGCCGTTACATAATAAAACAAAGGCCTGCCTACGAAACGGACATATCTGTTTCTCTGGCAATGCTTTCACTCCTGTGTGTGAACACATGTCTACAGCACACCCCACTATTGCTCCAGACCCAGCTATGTGACATGGGTGTACTTTCTTCTTCATTTTTGTATATGGTGAGGCATCACAGACATGAAATGCAGATAATGTAAGATCTGCGTTTCATGTCTGCTTAATTTAAAATGACAGGGCTGTGTTGTCTGGCAAAAAAACAGTAAGTTGTTTCAATCACCATTTCTGTTCGGAGGCCTAGCCATAAAAACAATGTTTTCCTGTATTGGGGATTTATGACTGCAAAAAGCACCAAAAAATGTGCTTATTTTATGTAACCACCGTGTGTGGTCCTTTCATTTGTATTTAAAGACATTCCTAAAGTACATCTGAGGAAGATGAAAATTCAGACCTCCTCCTTTGCCAGAGCAATGCACTCCTCAAACATACACAAATACTGTATATTTTTTGTTTTTCTTCTCCAGAGGAGAACGTATTCTGTTGATAAATTCCCAAGAAGGATGTGTTGGAGCTGAGATGAGTGACTCACTGGGCCTATAGGAGTTTGGGCTTCAACTATTGACGATTAACCACATTGACACTGAATGTGACCACAGAGTGAGAAAGCCTCTCTGAGTCATGGCCTCACTGCATTGTTTTGAGGGAGCAGCTGTAGGTGATACAGAAGCAATTAAATTGCTTGGAGAATCTTGTTAGAGCTCCTTATCCAATGGCCCCTGTGCTCTGTTACAGTACATGCTGTGCACAGTGTATAAATGGGACCTCGGGGGCAGGCACTGCGTGCTGCCCCTCAGGCCAGTGTCAGACACCCGTCAGAGAGCAGGATCAGTCAGGTGAGGCTGCCTGCACACAACTCCCTGTTTCCTGTTGCAGCTACAACCTGGGCAGCGGGGTCGCCACGGTGATGGTGAATGGATCCTTCAATGATGGCCGTTGGCACCGCGTCAAGGCAGTTCGGTATGTCCTCTCGAGTAAAGCCATGGTCCTCCTGCATGTTCAGAGTACTGTCTGACCGTGCAGATAAGACCTCCTTGGGACCAAATTAACAAACAAAACAAGGCCTTGTTGCAAAAACACACCTAGTATTGATTGATCTGAATTAGGTATCTGCAATAAATGCATCAGCATACTCCTTCTTTATTTGACCTGTATGCTAAATAATTAATGTGCTGTCACTTCACATATTTATTTTTTGGGGGAGGTTTGTAACATGGATGTGTTTGGACCTCATGGGACTAAAAAATGGATGCCACTATTTCCTATTGATTCAGCTAAAGACAAAAAATTTGCTCTTTTCTTGTCCAGAATTTTTTTAAGAGGGTTGGGAAATGAGTGTTAAGTTGTTTTTTTTAGCTTATCAGAGGCTGAAAGTGATAAAAGCTACTTTGGCCTAATGGAAGATTGTTAATATCCCCTCTGTTTCTCAGTGATGGGCAGTCTGGGAAACTCACAGTGGACGACTACGGTGCTAAGACAGGCAAATCACCAGGCAAGATGCGTCAGCTTAACATCAATGGGGACCTGTATATTGGTAAGTGCTCTAACGTGTAATTATAAGACAGTGAAAGGAATAGGAGCAGCGTTACTAATTACTAAACTACGAGCAGTTTTTTAAATACAAACGGTGCAGAACACGGCCTTGCATTTCAAGATTGGCCTGATGCAGATTCAGGATTCAGGCATGTGTACAGGGTAATTCTTATTGCTCTGTATGTTCTTTCCATATTTGATGCTGAACTGAGCAGGATTTGGTTATTTTTCTGTAAAGTATTAGACTTTTAATTTTTTTTGTAGCTAGTAAATGTTTGGATATTATAACAATGATTAAAATCTTTAAAAAACATGCATTGTTTTAATTCAGTGGCTACCTTTTTGAATGTTTAGTTAATGTCAATTGTTGTATTTCAATGGGGTGGATCACTATTAATTAGTAGGTTTTTTTCATTTAGAGCTTTCTTGTGATAATTTTCCTCCCTCTATTCAATTAAAAGTGTGGGTTGTTCTTTTCTCCCTGTGGGCTTTGGTCATGTACTCAACATGCTAACTAGCTTAATTGCTACTTGTGGCTGGTCACTGTGTGCCTCTCTGAGTCTCTCTGTGCGGACGCATCTTGGCAAAAGTCTTTTCTCCGGTGTGTGTCTGTGTGGGTCTCTCTCTGTGTCTCTGCATGCACATGCGTGTCCTCTGATGTGTCCTGTCCTGGGAATAGTCTTGCCTCACGTCCCAGATCGTTTCTGGGCTAAGTGTCTTCCTGATAAAGCGCTGCTGGAGGACTGCCGGCGGTATCTTGACCGGGCCTGAGTTTGAGCATCTTTGTCTTGTTTCTCCCAGGGGGAATGAAGGAGATTGCGCTACACACAAACCGGCAGTACATGCGAGGCCTTGTGGGCTGCATCTCTCACTTCACCCTGTCCACGGACTACCACCTCTCCCTAGTGGAGGACGCAGCCGACGGGAAGAACATCAACACCTGTGGGAACAAGTAGGAGCTGCCCCCTGTTCCTGAGGGGCTCTGCTACAGGGGAAAGCACAGACCTCAAGGACCGAAGGCACAGTGGCCGCACCACACAGGCACTTCGTCACCCGAACGAAGTCTCGCCCCAAGCTTCTGAAGGACAGCGTTTAGCCATGTAAAAGTAATAAGAATTTCCCATTCCCTTGTTCTTCTCCTCGACAAGTGCCCTGTTAGCCAGAACATGTGACGTTAAAACCCTGTCAGTGAATACTACGAAGCAGCGGGGTAATTCAAGGCCGGACTGGAAGAACCAACATGCCGTGCAAGCGGGCCACCTTCAGGAAAGTGTTCTGGCGGTCCTTCCTGTGGATTTAGGAAGTGTTGGCCACTTTCCCGACCAGGTCAAAATGAAATCTCAATCATTGGACTTGGTAACCTTCATACTGTGTTTTGTTCCAAAACCCTCCAGATACGTATTTATGCTAATGTGAGACTGCAAGAAACAAAAGGTTGAGGAGAGGAACGCAATCTTAGTTGTTTTTCTGGTACATTTTCTATAGCATGTACTCCGAAGTACAGCACTACCAAAAAATGAAAGGTAAAATGAATGAGCTATTTTTATTGATTACTTAGTTTTGTAAATCTCTCTGATCTAGAGATATTGTATTGTGTCACATGTTAATGGGGGGAAAAAACAACTCAATTATTTGGGGGGAAAAAACACAAGAAACACAGGAGCAATCCTGAAAACAGGAACTAGGCACTACTCAGCCTAAAAGGCAAGGGCATGATGAATAGGAAGAGGAAGAGCTAGCGTGTGTGAGAGTTCAGGCTTTGTTTTGTTAACAGATCCATTAGGCCTCAGTTATGTCAGGGACATTGGTCAAAAGCATGTTTTTACATCTTTCAGACATCCATCTAAAGAAAAACACAGCGAAGATGCTGACTTTGTCGGACCCATTTAATATATTATTATTATTATATACTATATATAATTATATATAATATATATTAATATATATATTATTAATATAAAGTAGTTTCTTTTTATCTTTAAACAAATGTTCTGCTATTTTTGGGAACGTGCTCTTGGCAAGTTGGAAATGTTCCTAAACATTTGTTTAGCAACACTGACATGCTGTGTTGCTGGTACAATGGGAAAAACGCACAAGTAGGTGAGAAGCCATATATCCCCCTGGTAAATCTTTGTTGTGTTATGCTTCCATTGTTGTATAGATTGTCAAGCTGATCTTTTTTATGAATTTCAATATAACTGTTTTCAGTAACTGGTTCTCCATACAGGAGGTGATACTGTATCCAATTTGTCTGGGCTGTGCATGTCACATACTGTATATCCCCAAGGACAAGCATATTTGCTTTAATACTAAAAGCAGCAGTCCTACTGGGTTCATCTTCATCAGGGCCTGAAAAATCAATCAATTGATCGAATACAGCAACCAAAGACATTCTTGCTTAATAGTTAATTCTCCATTCAGATACATGGTCATTTTCTATGATTAAACTGGGCTCATATCTGGTGCTTTGGCTAGTTTATTTTTTCCCCGTTTTATGTCCACCCAGTTGGGAATGGAATGTGACTCTTAACTTGGGATTGCTGTATACCTCACCTGGAGAATGGGCATCTGCTAAGACATGCTCATCGGACAGGGCCTATCACCTTTTGACATGCTGTGGGATCCAGGTCAGGTCAGGAAGGTCATTGCTGACTAGAAGGACAGGGTGGCTCTGACTGATGTCAGTGCAGACTCATAGGCACCCAGCACGCCTCACGGATTGGCACCCAGCATGCCTCAGGGGTATGCACTAGGCATTCCCCAGGAGTTGCTGTTGTGTTTGAAGTTGAGAAGAGTCCTAGATGACTAATGCCCTCCCTATCCTGATGGTATCTGCCAGCTGTGGACCAAGGCTCAGGGAATCCCATTGCAGTCAGGGAATGATATGGAGCACAGGTTCCAACCTGTGAGGGCCCTCAGCATCCGTCTTCTTTATGCACTCTATTTGAAGTAAAAATGATAGCACAGTGTTACTCCTTGTTTGAAGCACTCCATTGGGTTAGACACGTTTGACAGCAATTATCCTTTTGATTAAATCAGCTTGTGGGTGACCCCAATGCTACAAAGATTAGGCAAACACAAATTTATTTTAAAGGACTCTAACTCAGTTCCTAAAGAAATGCACAATGTTACATACAGACTGCCACATATGAGCCCAAGTAATACACTCAGCCATGCCAAATTCTGGTGGTGCCAAATTCACAAACTGCATTGATTAAACAGCAATGGATTAAAAAGTTTGTCTTGTCTTACAAACCATGGCAGGCTGCACACTGGAAAGAAGGAGGGCAGGTTCCTAATAATGGATTATTCTGCCATACTGGAGCTGTTGAGTACGGCTTGATGTACAGTAGTTAGAGTGGAGAGTTAGAATGTGTGCTTTGACATTATACAGTAATACTTGGTATCAAATAGACCAGCAAATGTAGCATTTACATGTAACATTTAAGCAGCATCTTAACAACATGTTAATCAGCTGTGAGTAAAGGTACAGTAATGGCTAAGGTCTGTTACGGTTGTTTTGCTAATTAACATAGTCATTGCTGAGTATGATTTGGGCTTATGTAGTATGCTGTGGTAGGAAACATATTTCCTCTGGAAGTGAATATGCACGCTAATAATGTTGTCGACATTTATTCCCGATTAATCTAGGGAAGACCCTATTGGAAAGATTTAAGTGTTATGAAACAATTACAAAATGATTGGCCAAACACTGCCTTCTTTCATCTGGTTATATTCAGGCTGTTTTGTGAAGACAGTGAAACTTGTTGCCACACAGGGATCTGTCAATACACACCCTCCAAGACAGCTTTCTCGGTCAGAATACCCAGCATTTTAGCACTAATAGAGATGAGATAATATGAGAAATTGCATTTTCTTTTGTTGTGTTATTAAATATAGCATCATTACAATACTTTTTTAGTGTGGAGTATAGTCTTTCTCTGTATAATTGTGATCCCTGTCCATTCCTCTTACCCTTAGCACAGAATTTTGTAAATGATGTCTATTCTTGAAGATGTAAATTTATGATGCCCTTCAGTTTTAAGTAAATAAACCAACATATTTAATAAAACTTTTTTTTTCCATCAGTTTTGTTAACAGTGAATAACCTGACAAAGTCTTGGAAGGCACAGTGACAAAGTCAGTGGGGTATAAGTGAAAATTATTGTTAATCATATAGTATAATTTCTTGCCATTTGCATTTTAGACGTCTGTCTATATCTGTGCACACTATCTTGTATCAGGACTATTCAAATGAAATGCAGATTGTCTCACTGTTTCAAGGCCAGAATTCTGGAGATCTAACAGAGGCAACTTGAGCAGACAAAACAAGATCAAAACTAACTGGACATTTCTGAGCACTTTGTGCATTGGTGCTGACATTGTTGCTTCTGTCTAGTGTTCAGCTACACATAAACCCGCCACAGTATTCAAGGCATTGTCTTCTAAATGAGGAGTCAGTAAACACTCTCTCAGTGTTGAGAAAGAGCTTGATATGAAGAGTGCTGACCCAGGATACCGATGATTAAACAGTACATACAGGGAGAGGGTTAATTTGAATAGTTAATATAAAGGCCAGTCACAGAAGAGGCCAGCAGAAAATAGGTTCAGTAAATGTGTGTCAATAAAAGGTCAAGTTTCAACAGTCAGTGTCTTTGGAGTCCGTGTGTTTTATTGAACCAAAACATTTGAGAAGTATTAAATAATAAAAGCTTGTTTCCACAACGTTTTCCAAGATTCGCAAAACATTAAATGTGTATTTTGTAGCTCAGTCTTAGTTTCACTTTTATTATGAGAATGCTAACCATGCAAGTAACTACCTGGTGAACTATTTTTTACTTGACCTTTTTAATTAATAGTTTGTTCATTTTTGTCATACTGTATATCTTGGAATTTATCAAAAGCATTCATGTGGTACCGTAGATAAAATATGTAATAAAAAATTTCAAGACATTTTAACATTAGTGACATACTGTAGACTGCCTTAAACTGCTGTTAGCTGCTCCCATTCTTGGTCTTGCTTCTCGGTTGTTTGCAGACATACCCAGGATACTTAGTTATTTTTAGTATTTTTAATTTAAATGGCAAGTTACCAATTGGCTGGTTGGCGTATCTTCACGAGGGATGTCTTATGATAAAATGGAATTTTCACGGCCGAAACGTTTTCTCTCTTCTCTTTTCAGCACGGAATAAACCTGTTACATGTTCTTTGTTTCAGTGTTGGTCATGATTCACCTGCAGGTGACCAAATGCTGCACTTGTAGATTTTAGATGATACTGGATTTAGCCTAATCTTCTCTGAAAGGTGACGTCCATGGTTCTGGGTAGGACTCTACTGGAAACTTGAAGAATGTAATGCTGGGGCAAGTGCATTTGGAGCTTGCTGAGAGATGACTGTAGTCACCTGAACGCTTCAAAACAATTGTTGGGCGATCCACTGAAACATCATCAGCCTACTGGGGTTTGATTACTGAAGTCAGGATGGTTTTAGTTTTGGACAATCTGTTGGAGATTAATTTATCATCCATTTGATAAATCAGCTAAACTCCAGTAGGAAACGTGTCTGGAATCAAAGAGAGAATGACCCCCAGAAATGTTGAAAATAGAGCTAGGATAATGACACCTCCTTGCGTGACATATTTCTGGGCATTAAAGAAAGCTGTAATGAATGGATCATTATTAAGGATTACTTCACACACCTCCCCCTGAAGCAGGTGAATTATGGAGGTAATCTTTCAGAATGCCTCATGACTTGAAGGGTCAAACAACTTTGTCAAAACAAAGAATGTGAAGTAGAAAAGGTTGGTTACTCTCGTGCAAACCTTGCCCCTGTGTTGTTTATGCTTCTGGAGGGCCCAAACTTGTTTGAGGATTCTGTTCACATATATTTACAAGATTTTTTTTTATGCAAGGCATGAATGTGCCTGGATGCATTGTTGTGGATCCAGCTTTTAATCACATATTACGACCCCTGTACCCGAATGTGCACATTGGTCTTGACGGGCCTCCACACTACCAGGAACTAACACTACCAGACTTTTCCTATGGGAACACTTCGAGTCTATGGGTTACAGCCCAAAAAAACCAAACAGTGTTGCAGCACTTAAGGAAAACACTTTGAATTCATGCGCTCAGATTAGTGTTTCCACCTTAAGAAGTGTTCAGAAACATTTGTACAAGACAAGTTTAATGGCAACCAGTTCAAATAATAAAATACTTCACTTATTAATTTTTAGCATGGGAACATCCAGAATTCTGATATACCCTAAAGCTAAACCAGGTACTGGGTATGTCATTTGCAGTTGGTTGAAGAATTAAACCTTTAGATTTTTCTGGGTAGCCTTATGGCTGTCAGTGGTTGCAGGGTACATTATACTACAATTATAGTTGTAGCAGAGACCTTTAGCAACAATATTCTCTCATTTTTTCTTATTTCTAGGAAAAATGTTAAGAATAGTAGAATCAACCAGCTGCATCCATACAGATGAAGGCTTGAGTTTACCGAGATGTTTTTTGTGTAGAGAGTATACTCCATCTCTGGATGATTATACATAGATTTTTTTTTGTGGACACCATTTCTATAATCTATGGGTGTGCTTTACAGTTCCTTTTTTCTGCAGTGAAATAGCATCCCATACTACGTTCACACTCCACGAAGCGGAAGATGATAGCTTTACTGAAAGACTGACATCTCTGAGTAACAATAACAAATACAGCAAATGAAACAAAGGCAAAGTATAAACTGAATGCCTCTTTCGTGTGCTCCTTAGAATCACATCACAATAAAGATTCATGATCTCTTTCTCCTTTACTGCTTTATTTGGAAATTCAAGTCTAAAAGGGGACTTTTGAAATGAAGTGATTATTGCAGGTGCTTACATAGTGAAATGGCTAACCACTCTGTGAGTCTGAATATAAACAGCGTGATCACTAACACCTGTGATGATGAACCCCGGGGCTTTTGAAACATGTCACAAGAGGTGAATTTGAATAATTTACAAACACAGACATCTAGAGAGCTATATCATGCCTATTGGCAGTGACAGATAAGTGTCATCTCTGCTCTGGTCTGCAGTGTCTCCATGTGGAGCAGAACTGATGCCAGACTATCTTCTAATGTCTCAGTAAAGTTATAACATGCTAAGCTACACAACTGCAGTTCTTGGTTATTTACATATTTACAAAGCCTTCAAATATGCAACCAAGCACAAAAGTGACACAGGACATCCAGACATGGAAACTTACTGTACATATAAGCGTTACACACTTTTCATTTGATAGCTGGTAGACCTTTAATAAACAAAGTTCGACTTGTTTTTGTACAAGGCACTAAAATTAAAGTTAATACTATATTTCAAAAATGCCAACAAGCAAATACAATTTTCTGAAAAATGTAACAGTTCGACAACAAGCAACATTTGTTTTACTTAAAATAAGGGATGTAGCAATATTATGTTGCCAATACAAAAACAGTCAATCCAAAAACTAACAGTCTTGATTACACTGAAAATGTTTTGCTTATCCTTGGTACAGAGAAATCCCCCCAAAATATCAATACTGTTTTAATAATAATAATTTTGTGGACAAAAGATGCATTTAACTGTAGTGTTCATCAAAAAAGCAATGCAGAAAATTTAGTTTGTATGCAAATTAAACTATTTAATAAATTGGTTTGAATGATATCCTGTATTGTACAATAAAGTGCTCACCTTTCTAATGCTATATTGGTTTAACACTAACAGTAATTTACAGTAATGAATAACTACTGTACATCATCCAAACATTATTTTGTTTGGATTAGCAATGTCCATTGCATTGTTACACATCATCACACACTACAAAGCTCTTTAATTTCATTAGTGTGCTGTCTGTGGAACGCTTTATTCAATGACTTTTTTTGATAATTGAACATTAGCATATTAAAGATTAATATGGTAGGCCATGCACAGGCTCTGAAGTAGTGTTTACATAAGGTATATAATCCTATTGTGTCAGTACATATAAAAAACATTTACTACATACACTCCCTTTTGACACTAAAATTAGTTAAAAATAAAATGAAGAGCCAACAAGCTATTTGGAGATTAGACATAATACGAATTGCAATATACTGATTTGAACGAGATTGTGATAATGGAATTCTTCAGTTCTTATGTGGTTTACTTGGTGGTTTTAAAAACTGAAAGCATTGTTATTTAGCAAAACTTTGCTGTGTTTGAAAAGCACAGCCAAATCTTCAATGCCCAAGGGTTCTAATAAGAGTCAGAAGTACACTTGAAAAAAACTGTCTACTAGAGCAATCAATGATTCTGGGAAGCTTTAACATGAATGTGACAATGCAGATTGCAGCCTTGCATAGTACTTAATGGCCTGCATTGAAAAAGACTGACATTACAGCACCAGAAAACATTCTGATATTTGCAAAGCTTGCATTGTGGTCTTTGGGGCCCAGTTTGAATTAAGACAAGATCAAAAGGAAGCCCATACTTCAGACACATCAAGAGCTGGGCAGTAAACTAGAGGGTTTCATTTTTAATTATACTTATAACTCATTCAAATTACTTTAAAAAATGCACAAACACAAAAGGAATTGGATTTAATTGACCTCCACGGCTTAATGCATGTTACCTCTATGTAAAATGTAGTGTACAACTTGAAAAATGTGCTACAGAAAGCAGCAATTATGGCCATAGTTTCATCGCTGTGGAGGTGCACATTGTTCAAAGCAACACGCTTCTCCCACCAGGCGATCTGTTAAATTATTCGTCCCTCAGGACATCCAGTTAGCAAACCACAATTCCTCAGAAGAGGTGGAGTTCTGAGTTCACAGCTTTCTTTAAGTCCACGAGGATAAACGGATTCGAGCAGTTTCTTAGCTTTGTCTGTTGCTGTTGCGGCTGAACATGTCAGCCAGAAAAGGAAGAAAAAAGTTTAAAAGGTTCAGGGCCGGGAAGGATGCTGAAAATAAGAAATGTCATTTTCAGAGCATTCCTTCAAATTGTCTGTGAACTCGTCCCTCACAAAAGCTGTGTCCAGCAGAGGTCCAGTTTGGTAAGGAGCAGGCAGTCCAATTCAGAACAGCAGTAATGTGTGCGGAGGACTTTGACCACTTTTTAACGTTCCACTTGAAGAAGCATACCCAGAACCGTACACCTGATCAACAATCAAAGCCTGAGAAGTGACACAACAAATGAAGCAATGTCCTTCTCTCCACTTGAAGAGTCTTCTCCCTTCAGCAGGTGTTGAGTTGAAGCGTTCACAGTGTTGGGTCCTACGAAGGGGAGCTCATTGATTTAACCACAAGGCCAGAATGAGGAAGACTCTGCCAGGAACAACTGACAGCAAGTCCAATGAAAAGATAAACACTCCCTGAGGAACCCAACATTGACATCTCAAAATCCATAAGATGTAGATCTTTTGGGTCTCAATACAGTCTGACAATGCAGATTTGTTAACAAGGAGTAGAACAGAAGGCCATTCTATTTTCAGACAATGCTACTGAATGTAAATTACTACATGAAAGCATTTGGACTCCAGAATAGGAATACAAAAAAAAACACATTTACATTACTAATGTGACTTTTAAATGTTTTGGAGCTAATCTGTGCGTATCATATATTAAAAGAGGCATACATTGTAAAAACAATCATACTGTAGAAGGTGAAAGAGCATCGGTACTGGAAATACACTGAAATATTACTTTGTCTATTTTGCCTCTGACAACTTTGAAAAAACAAAATCCATTCTAGCAAACTAACCTGTTTAAAGACAATTACATTGTAATGACCTTTCTCTGTGTGTCAAAATGTCAATGACCTAGTAATAGGTTGCTGTTTAATACTTTTTGAGACTTTGAGAAGAAAACGTGATCTAACTGAAATGTTTAAAAAGCACTAATTCTCTTTGGTAATAGTGAAAGGTGATCACTGTTTGAAATAATACCATAATAATTAAATTTTTACTGAAAGCAGGGCATGATTTATCTAGTGATATGAAGGATGTCTGTTTCAGGCTGTAAATTTTGAATCATTAGAGATTGCTGTACTTCATCATGTTTCAGACTTTGAACTCTCACAGAAGCTCCAGCAGGATGGTAAACAAATTCTCTATTCTTGCGCTGAAATGTGTTTGAAATTATAGTGGATCTCACCAGGTTTGATCAAGGTGGTTTCTTCAACTGGTGGACTTTTCTAGCCTAAACACTGGCAGGAATGAAGCCTTGAAATAAAAATTGAATTAAAAAATAACACTTTCTAATACTTTACAGCGATTTAAAATATGGAAAGATTACAGAAAAGCTGCCAGCCTGTTAAAAAACCAAAGATTTAAGACCATTTTTCTCAGGGTTAGTTTTTGTATTTTAAGGCAGCGATGAACTTCTTTTCCACATTGCATCATAGTGTTATCAAGGTAAGTAGCTACTCTGTGGCTGTGACTTAGTGCAGTCTTAGTTACTCTTTGGTATTAACGAAGATGCTTTTAGCAACACAAATACATGTGAGGGATCTGCAGTTTTTCGTTGGACTTTTCTCTATTTTTCCCCCTTCTCCTTTCAAAATGTTTGCCAGGTTAAATCACAATGCTGTCATCTGAACGTTTCACATGCTGGCCAGTCATGTCAGTAACAATCCTCTTATGTTTCCCAATACGCAGTACACACTTTTGCAGCAGGTAAGTCTCCTATGTAAGGGCCTTTATGAATCACCAAAGGATTTCCATCCATAGTACTGAACTATCTCAATTAGAACAACAAAAAACAGTTATTCCTGCCCCTGTGGTGTGGTCATTTCTTAGTCCTTGTGTGGCCAGTTGGTCAGTACTCGAGGTGTGGGGCGAGGCTGGGCACTACCGTTTCATGGAGAGGAAGTTGTGAAACCAGGTGCTGAACTGCGGCTCCTGGCTGTCCTCGGGGCCCTGGTCGGGCAGCAGGAACTGGGTAGAGTTGATGGAGGTGGGGCTGCCCAGCGAGCTGTTGAGGCTGGCAGGCCCCGGAGACTCCACGGTCCAGTCTTTGGGGTTGGCCTGCGGCTGGTAGCCCGCCGGGTCGCAGATGAGCGGCATGGCGAGCGGCGGGCCGAGCTCCTCGGGATCTGGGCCCCGGGTCATCTGGGGCTGGTAGCCGGAGCTGGCAGACGCGGAGGAGGAGGGCTGGATGTTCGTGTAGGTCACCTCCGTGCTGTTGGACTCCAGGGAGCTGGTGCCCGCGCCGCCGTTGTAGACCTGCCCGTAGTAGTTGAGAATAGTCTGGCTGCTGCAGCCCGTGTCGTTGTCATCCACCACGGGCTCCTCGGTGTCGCTCTCCTTCTGTTCCACCAGCACGTCTCCGACGACGCACACGTGGCTGGTGTCACAGGCATCCACGTTCATGGGCGGGTTCACGAAACTTCCCTGAAATACACCGACACCATTGAAAAGCCAAACTCGCCGAAAAAGCCCAAAGAAGTAAAATCGTATGATATTATTAACGATTACACTACGATCTCATGATTATTAGAATTAATTGCACTTATATAGAGCACTTTTCATCCCAAAGGACGTTCAAGCTGTTTACATACAGGAGCCAGACTGTACAGTTTTAACCAGAACACTGGTTTTACACCTCTACTCTTGCAAACAGGGTCGTGGGCCCCTAAGTGACCAAAGAGCAAAGAAATGGGATTAACACCTTATCCAAAGGACACTTTCAAAGAGTACATCCTACAGTGCAGTGATGCCCAACATGTTAGTTCCAGGACTAGTTGACTGGAGTTTGCAATCTGGACCTTCTGAGCATTCACAGACAGAACTGTACTTGGTGACCTGGTGAAAGTCTATGCTCTCACTTGACATCAAACTCTGAGGCAATGGATCAATAAGCTCTTAATTTCTAACAGGGGCTTCACAATCTTCTAAATTAGAAAAAAATGTGAATTGTCCAGTCTGAAGTCATTCTAAGTAATGTGCTGTATACTATAGAAGATTTGCCACTCATCCAAATATCAGAAATTCTTGACTGATTTATCGATTCCATAATATCTAACAATATTATGTTAGGGCAAAAACATATTTTTGTATTATGTGTATTACATGGCACTGTCAGCTTAGAAATGTGAGCCTGAAACCCCAAGACACTGCTGCCACCTACTGTTCATCTGGTTTATAAGACAAAACAGCAGTGCTCCAGAAAAAGAAGATTTTCACACTAACAATCTAACATGCATATGCATTTTTATTGCATAAGTTATGTGATCTCAATGCTGTAATAAAACATAAGCAAAAGTCTTTAAAAGCAAACTTCTCAAAGAAATTAAAACAGTCTAGCTCAGGTGAAACTATAAACCTAAGAAGGCAGATTCACAGAGCTAGCTGTTAGCTCTGGCACTGAAGCAGCAGGAATGAGCTGGGCTAGCTCTGTAACAGACCATAACACAGAGAACCCAACAGTGACAAAGATATATAAATATAAGAAGTTACCTCTCCAGGAATCCACTGTTCACCCCTGATCTCAGGTTTGGGGATGTCAGGATAGAATGTCTGCATCACCCTAGAACAGAGAAAGAAGCCATGAGTGCCTTTTCAAAACATCAAAGCATTGGTCACCTTGTTTGACAAACCGACAGTGAATCATGAACCAGATGATGCACAAGTAGCAACGTGGAAGTGCAACAGTGTTGAAGCCGATTTCCTGGCCTTTCAAGTAACAACTGGATGAGACGCTTGATCAAACTAACTGGATGGGGAAAATAGCCTCCTCTCATTTGTAACCTTTCCTGTACACTATGCACACAGAAGAAGTAAAGGGGTACAGCGCTGTGAAACCAGTGTTAACTTGTTTTCTCACATCACGCATCACAAAAATGTTGGTATACCTCAAACTTCTACCATTGACGGATGTTTCATAAAGACAGCTAAAAATTATTTTTTTTAAAATACCAAAGACATCATAAAAAATGCCAAGTCCCCACATTAAGGATATGTAGATTTATTTGACAGATGCTTAAGGCTTTAAGTGGAGGCTGGTGCTCAGCAAATGGAATGTTAAAAATGCCTCACACTCTGCTGCCTGGCTAAGAGACTGGAGTAATACTGTGGTCAACACACTTCAAGTGTCTGGCATTCATCCTTTTGCACGAGTATCATGATCAGAGCCTGATGCTCCCTTCAAAACAGCTGATTTGTCTAATTTGTCCCAAAATGATTCTTCAACAATTGCCTGTATCCTGCGCTGCATGGTGCACATGCACAAAAACACCATGTCATCTTCCGCTCCACTCTGCTGTGCACATGTGAATTTAAACTTAAAATGAGCACAGCACCCATCAAAACCATGCTCTGCAGTTGGGCCAGCAAGTGTGTAAAACAAACAAAAATAAACATCATACCAGTTCCTTTTTTTGTAGCAGACGACAGTGAGGATAATGGAGGAGACGGCCATTACCCCCAGAGAGATGAGGATGATGGCAATTAATCCGTCAGCTGAAAGACAAGGAGAGAAAGTTGGATGTTTGCTAACTTCAGCTGCTGACAGACCGCACACGCAGAGGAACCAATCCAGGAATTCTGTGTGGTGAAGCCTGCAGCCTGTCTTGCGAGTTGGCATCAGTCACGTGATGCAGAGCTGCTGAAATCCTGTATGTCTTTTGTGCAGTTCGCATGCAGAAGGGACTCCCAAGACACAAGATCTTCAGAGATTTTTACAGCACAGAAACTCAGTCCAGGTCTCTGAACATGACTTAAATGAAACTTATAAATGTTAAATGTGCTGGTCTTTCAGAGTAGGTAAGAAAAGGAAAAATATTCCCTCTCCACTAAATGCTGCTTTGAAATGGAGTGGAAAGAAGCACTGAACAAAAGCTCTGACAGCTGTCCTAAAAAGAATACTTTCTGCTCCAAAGCAAGAAACAAGAACGCAGGAAAAGGGGAGGAGGAGAGGGTAGGCGTAAGTGCTTTCTGATTAACTGATTTTTGCAGGAAGTGAGTATTTGTAAAACCATCTCAAGCTGACAATGAGAGTTTCTCCCGGTTTCACAAAAGGAGTGAAATGACTTACTTGGGCCAGGCATGAATACAGAAACGGTGGCTCCTCCGTCATCCTCCCCTGCAGCTGTATAGGCCTTTACTGTGAAGTTGTATACAGAACTGTGCAGTCTTTTCAACACATAGCTTCTTGCATCTGGATTGGTGATATTTGCTAATGTCCAACAAAGAGAAAGAGGCTCTTAACCAAAAACAACATTTGTTACAGGCACTTTAATGATTTTTTTTTCATTTTGTAAGACCTTTGATTAAATTGTTTACAGTTTGTTCAAATGCTAAGAAGACAACAATGAAATGAAGTTATGCAACTCCCAAACTTTCACTCATTCTTCATATTTCCTGCTGCATTAAAAGCATTCTTTTAAAAGCAAGATCGCATTCTTGATGGGGATTTTTAATAAATGTCTTTATGCAGATTGTATAGTATCTCTTCTGTATGGTCAATGGTACTTCACACCGACGACCTGCTCCTGTACAGTGGAGGAGAACTTCCTTGTCTGAGCACACAAGCATTGAATTATCCTGCAGTGTGGCTTTGTGTTTCATGCAGTCTGACACAGACGCTTGTAAAGATGGATAATTCAATATTTATGCCAAAGATGTGAGCAAGTAATGTAAAAAAAACTGGGTGATTTCACTGTGTATCTGGGCAGTCTTTTATTGTCTCTCACTGTCTAAGCCCCTGCTATAGAAGGGCGCTATAAAAATGTCTCAATTATATAAGGTTTAGTCACCGGCTATAATGGAGCGTCCTGTCTTGTTCGAAGCATAAATGATGAATCCTTTGATGAATCCGTGTTTTTTCTCCAGAGGAATGTCCTCCCACTGCAGCAGCACCTCATTTGCAGAGCGTGGTTCTGCCTTCAGATTCTTCACAGGCTCCGATGGAACTTTGAAAACAAAAACAAAATGAGTGCAGTCAGGCCAACATTGTATCATGACAGCTGACACTCTTACACTGCTTGTAAAAGTCATTGTACCGCTGTTTCATGAGGTTATTCCCTCCCACTGAGTGGAGATTACCTGGCAAGCATTTAACCCTTTCAACACCCAGCTGAAAGTCCCTTTGAATTTATTATTTTGTTCCTAAAAGCCTGGAAATTCTGGCTGACAAATTATTTATGACCTGAGTATGTCTCACTACTACAGCTTGTTCACACAATGGGAATCTAGCCCAGACAGTATGGAGGTAAATATCGTTACTACATCTGTACTAACTGCTGCAGGCTTTTTAAAACACATTTATCACAATAAATCCAAAATAACAAATGACAATATGAGGAGACAAGCAGTAGCTAGTGCCTACGTTTAGCTCTAAAGGAATATTTGCTCTGCTCTGTAATGTACCTGTAACGATCTCTGTGACATCTGCAGCCTGTCTTATTAGCCTCTGTAGTTTTAGCACATCCTCTTTTAATTATGTGCTTTGGAAAACTCCAGTAATGGAAAACTCTAGGGACACCCAAATGGTTAGAATCTTATCTGTATTAATGAATTGGCTGTGATCCTTGTTACTGGACTCATACACAGTATAACCTGTAGAAGGCCTTTGTTTAGAAGCATCTACTCTGGAGTGCAGACCCCTTAGATGCAAACCATTTTTTTATGATAAGCACAACACATCACAATACCACTAAAAGCACTGATCGTCAAGCTTCAGCGACACAGAATGATGTCAATTCTTGCTATGCTGATGTTAGTGCCCTTTTTCAGTTGTTTTCTCAACAATAGTGCCATGTTACAGTTCTCTGTCAGTCTACGAAATTGTCTCAACCTTTTCCATTCCGAATCCTGCACCCCTCCCCTTGGAAATATATTTCCATTTATATTTTCCTGCAGCTGTCATTTCATTTGAGCAACATCTCCCTGTTAAACAATGGAAAGAACAGCTGAGGATGTGGTTCTTCATACGAATCAGTGTGCAAAAAAGGAAAAGGACCTTTAAAGACCAGAAGACCTTCATTTGAAAAAACCCTTTGATGAGGCAGCAGAGAGCTTGTTCAGCTCTCTTACAGTGGGTCTCTCAGTTCTCACCTAGTTCCTGTCCATATCCAATCTTCCTCTCTAGTAGGTAGGGCCTGTTCTTTGTACAGCCATAGATGGAGAAGCTGTACTGCACGCCAGGTTTAAAGTCCTCTGTAGACACACAGGAATATGTGTCAGGGTGAGTGAAAGTTTTAAGTATCTTTCCAATGTGAATATACAGAATTAATCTAATAATAAATTAATTAATTCAGCTGCTGCTGTTGTTTCAAATACAGCAACTGGGATTTACCTGACTTTATTACTGCATTGGTGCTTCCTAGAGGAACCTTCACCCAGTACAAACTGCAGTTCTGTAACCTGTGAGTAGGGCACCAATCCACAATGTACCCACAGTCAACGCTGGCATTGGGAGACCAGCTCAGGTGAAAACCCCCATTCGCAGCACAAACCACAGACGGAACAGAATTGTTAACTGAAAAAAAAAACAGGAAAGAAAGGGCATTAAATCCAGATATCAGTTAAACCTAGATGATGCCTGCCGTTTCAATCATCTGCTTCTACAGAAAGTCAAAGAAATAATTCATCAAAATTGTTCATATAAAATACAAGGAATAAGTTAAGCAGTGAATCACTGTCCTCCATGAGTACTGCCTGACACAAATTATAAGGAATATCAGTGATAAGACAGTAATTGAAACAATAGATTTATTTTTAATTGCACGTCTCTTCAAGCCAAATTTTAAGGAAGCAGGGAGACTAACCGACTAACCTTGGAAAACTAACAGACAGCACTGGGGCACTGCCTTAGCTTCAGAATGAGAGTGTCTGAGGGGCCTTTCCTACCTAACAGCAGCTCAGGGACTATGAGGATAGAAGGAGGAGAAGATCCTGCAGAGTTGCTGGCGCGGACAGATATGACGTAGTCACGGTTGCTGAGGTTCAGCTCTGCACTGGTGTCACTGGGGGGCAAAGTGAAGCTCTGTTCACTGCCATCAGTGAGACTCTTCCAGGTCACTTCGTATTGACGAATTTTTCCATTGCTTTCCCTTTTGGACAGGGGCTATAAACACCAAAGACAAAGTACATAAAGCAATGATTGGAATTTGCTGTGCTCTTCGAATCTTTGTTCTATTGCGGATGTGAAGCTTGCACACGCACCATAGTAACCATGGTGTACGCACAGGAAAAACAGCAACAGATGGCTAGGAGTGTTTTTAAGCTTAACTTTGACAAAAACAGTGTCATTAGTCAATTCTGAGAAGCCAGCCTTCATTTTCAATTGATTCTTGTGGCAAGGTAAAGCTACAGGGAGCCTGCTATAAATCACAAGCTTTTGATGAAGGCCTAGAGATGAAGATCATTGCAACAGCAGTGGCCAACCTGTCGAACTCATCATACACAAGTATAAAATTATGTAATGGCATTCCTTTCTGATGATTAAATCTCCCAAGCAAGCAAATAAATTGTTTACCTTCCATGCAATGACAACTTTTTGGCCATCTTCCTCCTTGATAATATTTCTCCAAATGTCAAGGGCTTTTACTGGGCCTTGGAAGTGAAACAAAATAGGGAAAAGCTTAACAAACAAAACACATGTATTGTTTTTTCAGAAAATGCAGAATGTTTATAGTGCTGAACAAAGCAGTGCAGATTTTTGCTGTCTAAAAAACATTAGACATCCTCGTTACTGCTTCCACTTGCTAATGAAAACACATGCTGCAACAATGTGATCAGAACAACGTTCTGAATAGCAGGCTCTTTTTTAACAAGCCCAAAATGATCAACGGTTCAAATTTACCCTCATCTTTGTGGATTGCGTGCAAACACATATTCCAGTCTTTCTACACTGTAAAGAAGTATGATTCCACCACTAGGACAGGATTCAATATGGTTCATAAAGCTTTAGCAGTTAAGAGAAGTACTGCAGAGCAAGGGAAGGTGAAAGAGCTCATATCACAACTATTAAAGCAAGTGAGAGCTTAAATTTCTCAATGAACATCTTGTACTGTACACCTTAAAATACTTTTTGCTACTAGTCATACTTACTTTCCTCTAGAGTCTGAAATTGTTTAATATGGCTCCAATCACCCCATTTCCAGAAATCTTCAGCAACTCCACAGCGAACGCGGACAGAGTATTTCTCACCCGGAAGCAAATGGCTCATTTCTAGATTCCAGCTTGATTTTTTATCCAGTGTGTAGTTCCGCTAATAATAATGTTAAAAAAACACATTAGATAAGATAGATAAATATCTACATCAATACATCTGTATTAGATCTAGAATCATGGTCATACTGAAAAATTAATCCTTTTCATTAAAACAAGATCCAGAAGAAAAGAAATGCTATTACAGTCTTCACTTGTCCTTTTCCTTGGCTAGTGCTTTTTACTCATCATAGGGGTTCTCTGAACCCAAAAGATGAGGTACACCCTCAAAACACCACGTCTTTCCCCATGTTCCATTAGGTTCTTCTAAGCTCTTCTCTGACCTAAATGCTGTAGTACAGATCCAAACATCATTTGGATTTAACAGACAATAATAAATTAATTCACCCGTTTGTCATTTCCGTTTGTTCGTGGTTTCATTGCATACATGATTTATTTTACCTTAGTCTGTGAAGATTTGATTTCAGCAGCTATCCAACAAGCGGCATCCATTAAAGATTTGTGGGAAACAATGTTACCAAAAAAAAGACGCTGACATGCAAACTTTCCATCTCAGTTATTTGCTTGAATTTCGTTAGCTCCACAAATTCAGTTTTCCTGAACAGTTGTCAGGCTTTGCATGACTGTTTCCATCGCCTTCCTCTGTTTTGGTCTTTCTGTGACAAGAGTGCTAGGGAATATTTTCTAGTGAACATGCTTGTTAACCAGAAATGTTCTGTAACACTAGCTAACAACTTTAAAGATGCGGTGCTGCATAAGTTTGTGTACAGAGGCCATGGATCTAGCAAACTGAATTTCATGATTAGAAGTAACAATGTTAACAAAGAGTAGAGGTGAATTTAATCCTGAAAAGCAAAGCAGATAGAGCAGTTGAGTCTTCCTCAGGAGTAAACAGGAGTGGAGATTATATAAAGTTTACTAGACAATGTGAATAGTGCAAGGTTCTCACACAAAGACACCTAAATAAAGTTGTATGTTATCAACAGGACAGTTACTCACCACCTCTGCATGATCCTGGCTGTACATCTCCACCTGGCACACAAAGCTCAGCCTGTCGTAGTTCTTTGGCCAGTCCCAGACCAGCCTGGCACTTCTGGAGTAGACAGACTTGACTTCCAAATAGCGAGGATTGTGTGGATACACTGAACAGAAGACCATTATACACTTGTAAACCTCTGAAGCACTCCGTTTACCTCAATATACATACTAGCATCACAAAGGAATATTTAAACAAACCCTGTAAATGTCTCTACAAAATGATTTCTTTCAACTGCCTACAAACATTTCAGTTCATGTTATTACTGCCTTCAGTCTGAGAGCAAGATTAAATGAATCTGAATCTAACCTGGAATATAAAATCATAATGGCCTTTAGAAGGAATAAAGATCAAGGCAATTCTAATAAGAGATGTCTCACATCCTTGCAGGCATAAGGGACATTTTTCACTTTCAAACCTTGAGGAACTGCATAATATGACTTGCCAAGCAAAATATGATATAACATGTTCATGTTTCTGGAGTTTAGAGAAGTGACAAGTGAAAATTGCAGAATGTTTAATACCAGCACAGCATTCACGTAAACCCATTCAGAGTAATCAACAATTTACATTTCTACACAGCAGCATAAGCAGGAAGCTCTGGGGTCTTGGATTCAGCTTTGGGCATGGGAGCCAGAATGCATGTTCCCTGGAATTTAGAATAACTCTGAATATTCCAGCTTTCTTCAACCTACTTGCAGTTTAACTGGCTAAGATAACACTATCCATTCCCATCCCTCCTCATGAATCCACCTCGAAAACGATTTTTGATGTCTCTGTGCCCAATGCTTTGATACAAGTATGGGTTTTTAGGATACTACGATTATGCCCCTATTTTTCATCTAGAAAGAATTAAGTTGTTAACGCAACAGCATGTAGCCATGTAGCAGGAAAGCAATCCACTATATCAAGGAAGAGTGCTTAATGTAGAACTTTCATCTATTCATATTAGAGGCCCTAATCCAGCAATCATGTCCAGGTTTTGCAACTTGCAGAAGCTTTTTGTGCTTCTGCAACTATGTGGCATAAATATCAGCCTCCTGCTTGAGCTTCTGAGTTAGGCCCTGCACGTCACACGAAGCCACCCTTGCCCAATGCAGCCGCATTTGAGTCTGCTGTCTTGCTGCGCTTGGCACAGTGCTGCACACAAGAGACCTCAGTGTCAGGCCTGCTCATTCCCAGATAGAGGGGACCTGCGGCTGCACAGGCTTACCTCTGTGGTGCAGGTCCAGAGAGTCTGAGAGCTCCACTGCTCCCAGGGGGTTCACGGCCCTCAGAGTGAAGACGTACTGCTGCTGGCCAGGGCTCACAACATGTTTGCAACAGTACTTTTGTCCATGAATAACATTGGCCTCAGAGCAGTTGCCTTCCCCAGAAAGCCTAAGAGGTAGAAGAAAAGAGAAAAAAACACACAAAAAACAGTTTAAAAACAATATCCCAGGGAAGTTGGGGACCTTCAAATAACGGTGGTAGGAACCTTGGCACCACCATTGCAACTAATGTTTTCCAGCTAATCTATAATGATTCCAATGCTCTTAAGCAGTAGGGTCTTTTAATTAATTAAGGGGTTGATTCAGCGCATACAGCACTGACTAGGTGCCATTACGCATGTCTGAAATGGGAATTACTTACTGCTGTTGTAGCATACAATACAATCATATCATATCACAAACAAAATACAACCATACAGGCATCTCGTTTTGGGCCACACAAATTCCAAACAGCCCAAATAATTCACAATCAAGTTGCCAAGCCCCATGTCTGTGAAAGGAAGAATGCAGCCACTGGATTGTGAGAACGTGCATAAAAGCAGGCAAAGAGCCATGAAATTTTCCCACAAGGCTGGCAGTGAAGGAGCTATAAATATCACAGGGTATTACACCCTTTCCTTCCTGCATCTCCCACTCTGCAGCTGGGTTACATTTTCTTCTCCTCAAAGCCTGTTTTTTTATTACTATTGACAATCATAATTCAAAACACGGAGAGGCTGTGTTTTTCTTCCATGTAACCTGAGATTGGTTTACAGTACATGATTCATGAATAACTTTGCTATGAGTCCGAAGGAAAACTGCTGCATCGCAAAGCACGTCCGCTGTGGGCAAGTTGGACTACTGCATTGGTCTGCCTGCACTTACTGCATTATGGCACCAAGATGTAAATCCTGTTACCGAACTATGACATTCTCAAGGGACTTTACACAGTGACCTGGTTTGGAAGCTTCAAAGGGTTTAATTTGGCACCATTAAACCTCTTAAAAAATAAGGGCACTTGGTCAATAGATCTAGATCGCTTGCTGTTAAGTACACGTTCCTGACAAGTCCACTCATCTGGCAACAATACTGGATCACGCCGAGATACTTTAAATGTTATCACAGCAAATGAGGACCATGTCAAGTAGCTCTTCTATTTAAATGAAGGGCTTCTGCAGAATAGAGTGACGAGGAAACTGTCTAAGCACAGTGATTTATTATTAATTACAGCTATTCGATCTGCATCCACAGGTCCCATCTTTTGCTCATCTTCACCTGGCAACATGTTATCACCTGTGCTGTGGCATTTGATGTCACTGTCATCGTCTGTGACATATGTTGTTGCTTAAGACCTGTGCTACAGTATACCCTTTAATCTACTGAACAGCTAGAAAGTGCTGTACCATATAGACACTTTTAAACAGGTACATCTGACCTGAATATGTTCCCATATGGTACAACCGCATTCATTTGCAATCAAAGACAAAGGTAATAGGTAATTATATTATTAATAAGTTTTGGTTAAATACTTCACAAACACTAGAAGATATGCAATAAGGTACAATATTATCTCAGCCTTTTTGGCGCTGAAACGGCAGTTATGAGCATAAAACAGTACAAAACAGTATGTTATGATGCGATATACTGTACATTATCTATTCACTCATTTGGGAAAACATGGGATACTCAGAGCTAAGTTCTGAAAGGAAAGGAGCATTTACATTTACAAATCTGGTGTTGTTGCTTTTGACCTGCCTGTCCTGTCAGTACTGTGAACCAGAGTCTACTCTTAGAAAGCACCTTTCAGTCAGGCTGTAGATAGTCCTGCGTGGCCCATATAGGTATGTGGAGTTGCCCGTGTTCCAGTAACATTCGACGGATGCCAAGTCTCGAGTCTCACACACAAGGTCACTGTCCCGAGGGGCATCTGGGAAAACAACAAAGTCGTAAAGGGGGAGAATAACAGTCCCCAATTAATCACTTGAAAAAAACTGCAAAAGAAATCCTGCTCGCTTTTACTTCCTTTTCTGATGCATATACCAGATAATCCAAATCCAGTAAAACGTCTGATAAAGGAACACAGATAAACAGATTAGACTGTAAAAGATCAGATTGATCAGATATTGATTAACATTAGAGATGATTTTCTAAATCCTACATGGCAAACCAGAAACTACAGTTTCTGTAGATCCCTATCATTGAGTTTAATACCAAGAAGGAAATGTAGGCTTTTAGCAAAATACACAGCTTCGGGAAGGTTCTCGCAAAAAGATGTGACATGATTTTAAAACTGAAAAAAAATACTGATGACTACAGAGAACGAGTTACTTACAGCCAACAAACACAACGGTCCCCCCAATGGAAGATGGGCTAATGCAAATCACATTATCTCCGCTGCTAATGGATGGAAGAGGTAGCTTCTTCTGTGCTGCCAGAGTCCTGTTGCTTAGGTATGTGGTACCTAACTTCCCCTGAAAGCTTAAATCCGTGACATTGTCCTTCTTCCCAGCCACACAGCAAAATGTCAAGTTTGTGCCAACAGCCACCACTCTGTCAATGGGAAACACTGCAGTTTCATCGACATCTTTTGTATCACTCCCTGGACAATGAGAAGAATGACAACACATGTTATGATGTTAAGAAAAAATTAATCATAATCTTATATAATAAAAAATATAAACAAGAACAAAGAAAAGACTACAAACTCGGGGAGGCTAATTGGCCAAATGAGCTAATCTTTCGTAGTTAGTAATTAAAAAAATATCATACAGCTGTGTCTTTTATAGGAGCATAAAGTCACAAACTTCCTGATTCACAGAGAATTTCTTCCCACAAGCTGTCTGATTACTGAACTCTACCCCTATCACGGGATCACCCCAATGTTTTTTTTTAAGTTATATGTTGTTTAACATTGTTGTTGCTGCTGTTCGGTGTTTATGTTTTTGGCGATGGTCTTTTTATCAGGGCAGAAATGCAAATAAGCATTTCACTGCACTTCGCATATGACAATAAACTGACCTGAACTCTTGAAGGAAGCCAGGGGCTTCAACAACAAGGCTGGGCAGAAAGTATTCCCTGACCTGTGACATCACCAAACAAAAACTCTTGGGATGAAATTCCCCAGGATCTCCTCATGGCTCTCAAAAGTATGGTCACTGACTTCCTACATATATATCCATCTCAACTTTTCAACAGGGGTGTCAAATCTAAAAACTTCTAAAAACGTAGTTTTGCTTCAATTAGCAGGTGTCAGAGAATTTAAAACAAAACAACACATGAGTGTTTTGTCCAGCTATTTTGTGCGCTTTGTTAGATCTGTTATATAAAGCAACAGCACAAAAAATAAAGATCCTGGAATGTGAAAATAAAAAGAAAATATATTTATTTGTCCTGTATAGCTATGAAACCCACCTTGGATGGTCACTAATGAGCTCCATTTACTTTTTTTGTGGTTGTGGATGGATCGTATCCGTAAAGAGTGGGACGTGCAGTTTAAAGGCATAGGAGAGATCCACATCCACTGGTTTTTATTAGTGTTGTTCAGCAGCACTTTATAAACGTCCTGTTGAGATACAAAACATGTAAGACTGGAGCCAGTCATACTGAAACTGAGGAAATCATTAAAAAAATAAATTCCTTAATGGAAGTGCCGCTTCCCTTATGGTCACAATAGACACTATTGTTCTGGCAGCATGATAACATAACATAGCACACTTATGTTGGAAATGGACATTTGTGAAATGGACATTCACTAAGCAAACTTTGCTAGCAACATCTGATTCAAAAAGGTAAGTTTAAACGACTAATTCCATTTAATATTTTAACCTTAGGCAGACAATCATTTCTGCTTAGTAAAACTCTCAAATGTTTGAACTCATGCAACATGGCTAGAAGGACATATGAATGATGGGATCCATACAGATTGTCAGATTTACAGTAGGTGCAGAGATAACATATATATTTGTTAATAAAAAACTTTTTATATTAACATTGTTGATGCTTTGTCAGTCTCTCTCCTTATTTGAATTTTTTTGAATGTGCTTACTCGGTGAACAACTTCCATTTTTTCAGTCAAGAGAACTTCAATCTCATATTGCTCTGAAGAGCTACGAAAAGAAGAGTCATCCTCCCACTCCACAGACAGAATGTCAGATTGATAGTCTGGCTTCACTGTCACACCCTGGGGCACAGGCAAACTGAGGTCTGCAAAGACAAAAAAATAGCATGTGTATCTACTGTAGATAAACGAGTCACTTTGACACCATACTATTCTGGGTTTTGGAAATGTAAATGTTATTAATACTATGTATTATAGCCATAACAACCGCATGAGAGCCATTTAGTGCAAAACACTACACATCATAGAGCTGTTTCTGTAACTTCTTTCTATAGGGCCGTGAACTTTCTTACCCTGCAATAAAATAAGCTGCAGAATTTCCTTTGATTTTAAAACCACAAATGTTTCAATACCCTAAAATGGTTTCTGATGCAGACCTACTGTACCTTCTTCGCAGACGCTCTCTCTCACAAGGACAGCAGAGAGGAGAAACCACCACAGTCCATTCAGGAAGCACAGAGGAGTCTGCATTCTGGGCAGGAATTTCAGGAAGCTACAGTACAGGTGGCCAAGGTGATGGTATCCAAATCATAACCGACAGATCCTGCCAGAACTAGAATTAACAAAGACAAACACTGGGATTAAAATGTATTTTTAACTGTAATCCAGAACACATTTACAATGCCTACATCTAATTCAATGATAATGCCCAGTAGATCTTAATTTATGTGACGCATGACGGGAACATCCTCCAAACCAGTGGACCAGTATTATTATTTTTCCAGTTTCCTAGACATTCGCAATGGTTGTGTCTATAAAAGCTTATATCAACTACATCTCTGTTGCCTGCGGCAGTGAGACGTAGTAAGATTAACCCCCCGCCTTGTCAATTCTCAGACACAGCTGGAACCCCAGGCAAGCCATGAGAAGGGCAGTGGAAACGGTACTTTGCGTCTGTAGACAGGACTGACTTCAGGCCAACAAGAACCAGGGACACTTCAGCTATGTTTCGGAACAAGTCTGTACCCTTCAACACCAAGCAAAAGAAAAACTAAACTGAAAATGAGCTGCAACTGTGCTCTACCACTGTTTTCCAGGGTTACAGCACAGGACGTTAAACCTAGGAAAAGGACTTACAGGCTTGAATTAAAAGAACACGAAGAGGGTTAAATACCAAGGAATATTTCAGCTAAAGGGCTATGATACTTAGATACAAAAGCCAGGGCAAACTGAGTTGCTACTGAAGAGATTAGATTTGAATGCAAATTAACACACAACAAAACCAGTTTTCAGACACCAAAAGAAAACCCTCTCATTCCCAATGATTATACTTTGTGTTAAGAACACAGTCGCTCTGGTTGAAATACAGCATCAATACCTAAGTAGGACATTTTTCAAATTAATGACATTAATAAGTTATACATTTTGACCATTCCCGCTGAATTCCAAGAATGATGGCTTGCGTGTTCAAGTTCCACAAAATATAACACTATAAAAAGTATAAGCAGAAAGAACATTTTTTCCTTTTTCCCCCACCTATTATATCATCATATAACCTGAGCTGGGTGATTGCAGCAGACGTGACACAGGTGAGTCATCTTGATACCGTAAGGCTTGCCTCCCCCAGGGTAGCGGCAAGTTTGTGCAAGACTACATCCCTGCTCGGGCTCGGACACTTCTTGAATTCATAAAGACTGTGCCAAAATCAACAATCAAAACATTAAAATAACACACTTTGAAAACTATGTAGCAAGGCAGCCAGTTCCCACCCCCACACACAAATGCACTGCGTTTTCCTGGAATTCTTACACTGACAGTTAACAGGCGACACTGCAGGAGTCGTTGAGTACTGCCGGCTTTCCATTTACTGTGTGGATTAAGTCTCTGGCAAGCCAAGACACCATCAGACACAAAGTTTGGAATGTGTTTTAATCCCAAGGCTAGCTGTGGTTTCCTGACACCACGCCACTGAAACAACACAGCATACTAAAATGAGGGGAATTCTGAAAGTCACTACATGGCACAGGACTAATTCCAATATCTTGTACTGTCCAAGCATTTAAAAGTCTTAAATTAGCAAAGAGCACAGAGTAAAGGGCTAATCAAGCAAACAGCTCACTTAAATGACTAAATTAACCTAGGAACAAACAAGAGGCTTACAAAGATCAGGACTGAGAAATGCAGATTTAAATGCAGTAACATCCGTGACAACAAATGACTAAATGTCAAGAACAAGAAAATAAAATGTTAGGTTTAGAACTTGAAGTGCCAGTCGTGGGTGGATGTAGACAGAGAGGTGAAAAATATATTTTTATTTTATATTTATAAAGTTCAGTTGTTTGTATTGGCTCTCCAGTGTGTGAGATGCCAAGCAGACGTGGGGACTGACAATCTGCTTTGTACGGATATCACCATCAGCGATTCCATAATTCTCAGACTGTGCTAGACCAAAACAGTAAAATAAGTTCCGAGGCACTATTTGTGTTTCTGGGTTTGAAATTGACTTTCATCTTGTATGGAATCAACGGTGATCTTGGTCTCATTTACAAGTACGAGAGTCCTCTTCTTTACCCTCCACGGAACCGATGTTCAGACGGCACACCCAGAACAAAATCAATAAAAAACAGGGGCAAACAACACGAGATGAGAACTGAATGTTCTCATTTAGTTCTCAACTGAATGTGTTTACTAAAATAAACACCATCCGGATCTTCCCCTTTACTTCAGTGAAGGGAGACACTTCAAGAGTGGGTTTTACTCGGTTACTTTAAAAGCAAGCTAGCAAAGGTGTTGAGCTTCCAATCATTTAAACAACAAGTAATTTAAATTCGCCATCTGTCAAACTAATATTTGGCTATGTGTAGCTCTCATTTGGAAAAAAAATAAAAATGCAGCAAACAGAGGGCTACAGATTATATTATTGCAAATGCACTTTGGGATAGAAATAATGCACAAAAGTAAAAAAAGAATGAACCAAAGACACAAACCTAGGGCATTTAATGTAGTTGTGCACAGCAGAGGTATGCTACTTGTTCTAAATAGAATGAAAATACAAAACAATCTAATTTTCAAGAATCAAAATAATCTTACCCTGCTTGCAGGAAAATGTACATACACTGGACTGAAAATAAGGATAAGGTTATCATGTAAGTATAACACTGTGTATATAGTGCCTTTTAAAGCAATAATTTCAAATCTTATGTCAAGGCTGTTTATGCATTCCCAATTTTCTGAAACAGGACAGACACAGTAAATCCTCTGCTGTTCAACATTTGTCTTCAAAGATTTCTCTTTTTTTAAGTTAATGATTTTTTTCCCCAGAGAAAAACGTTTTGTGGTGCCCCGTACAAGCACGCACAGTGCATTATCCAGTCATCCTACTGTGAAAAGCAAGCTAGAACCTGAAAAAGCCACATCCAATTACAAGAAAGGAAACTTGCTTCCAAATACTTACTCGTGAATGGATCAGAATCAAAAGATTCCAAACGATACTGCATTTCCAATGTAGATCTCAGAGCAGTGAAATATACATTTGTTTGTCATTAAGGCCTGCGCCGTTGTTGTTCCATCTCATTTGGCTTTTTCCACTGCTGCCATTTCCTTTAACTCTTCTCTTACTCTGTGCAGACAAACTCGGTGAAACATTTCATTTGAAACGTATCCTACCTCCTTAACTAAAAACCACGACACTACAAAGTGTTGCAAAATGCTTTGCTACCGATGCCAGCACAGGCACAACCAAATAATTTTACCCCGTTGACCTTTTTCCCCAGAGAAATACTTACTAAAATAGACATTAAAACCTCTCAAAAGTTTTTAAAAACCTGCCCCACTTACGCATTATGTATGCATCGTAATCATAAAATGTGGTCGGCAAAGACCTAAACCTTGCAAAGCATATTCAAATCCTGAAGCCTTCAAAACACATATACAGTTATGTAGAGGATAAACAATGATTAGATTTCTCATTTGTTATTATATGCAGACATCTGCATGAGCTGTAGAAAGGCGCACACGTGTTCACTCTCAAGCTTTTACCAATCACAGATTTTAACAAGGAGCTGTTTTCCTATGCATTTCCACTGAAGCGTCTCCAGAGTAGCACATCACACTGTGAGCTCCTTCTCGCAGACCATGACCAGACCAGGCTTGATCTGAAGAAAAAGGCCCCGTCAGACTGGAACTGGGGGCTCTGAACTGCCGGTTCTCAAAGTGAAAGCTGTCCAGATTTACTGGACACAGGCAGGATACACAGGTCATCAGCATGAACTTCTGTTCCTTACTTATCCGTGCAGATATTTCCTTTGCCTCTTTGACAATTCGCTCAATTAACCCCATTGTCTTTGTGTCATATTTACTATGCAGCACGGATCATGGGGATTTCTCCTGTACCATTGTGTGCCAGTTAACTGGACACCAGAGACCTACAATAATTACTGTAAAACATTTCATGCATTCCTCATTTTCTAAAAATGGAGTTTTAATGGTAAACTAAAATCCACCCTTCAAATGTGTTTTGTACGTTACAAAATAAACAAAACTTGTGGGTTTTAACAAGTATGGCAGGCATATACAGTAGCTCTGTTTATTCTGAACACAAAAGTGTCTAGAAAGTAACTTTTTTTAAGTTGTTGCTGCAAAACATTTAATTCAGGCAAAATAATACATTTTTGCAGGGTTACAAATTCATCACAATTCATCAAGGGACTGCAAAACCAGTAAAAATGAGCAAATATTTAACAGATTTGTGTATTGCATTTTTGCAGAAACATTAATTTAACCATGACTCACAGATACAAATGACTTGTTTGTTTCAGACTTGGTTACACCTAAAAACAAATGTGCAAATGTGCCAAAGTGATTTATATTTTCGAAGCTTCTCTACAAGAGTGGGGCTGGAAGTCCTAGGTACTCGGAATCCCTCAAGGCACAGACAGAATTGGACAGAAACGCAGCAGCACTTAAGTTTTTCAAATGTGCTCAGCCCTTGTATGACAACACTTCTTCAAGGACCCAGCTCTGCAGAGTTGTAAAAACCAGCAGCACAAAACGACATTACAGGAATTCCAAACAGATGGAGAACATTAATGTGTCTGCTACTTTCAAACCCAAGAGCACCTGACAAGACACATCGTTTTCAAAAGTGACAGCTGTTCAGATCAAAAGAGAATTATACTCAGTCTGGGACACGGACTGGTCGCTAGCCGCTGTAAGCAATTCAGGAGGTAATAAGTAATCCTCAGAAAGCAATCCAACAACTGAGTATGGAACAGAATTACTGATTCTATACTAAAAGTGACACAAATGGCCTTTGGACTTGAAGGCCTTTAATGTAGACAGTAAACAGCATCAATCGGTCAAATGGATCAAATCCGGGGTTTACCCTACAGTTTTCTTCAATATACTCAGAGAGGCTTATTGCTTTGGAAGGCTATCAAAAATGGAACAAACAGTAGAGACATCCAGGTTAGCCAAGTCAGTACACTTACATAAGCATGTTCTGATCACAACACTGCCTACAGAGCTCATGAAAGCCTTTTTGTACTTGTAGAGAAAGTACAATTTAAAAGTTGGGAGTCAACTGGTACATGACGTGTTCTTCAGTAGGGGAAGAAAATTAAGTAAACTACTGTATATGGAATGAGTATTTTGCAAAGATGTTCATTAAGACAGAGGTAAATAACACGTCTCAAATAAAAGAAGGATCTTGCATCATGCAGAACAATCTCCGCACACAGGAATAGAATGTGAAGTGTCACAGGGACATGTGAGCGCTTAAAACACAAGTATTAAATATTGGACCTGATAGTTTTTTTCATCAACTGTACTCAAAGAAATGTGGGATGTTATTCTTCCAACAAACGGTGTTGCTAAAAAAAAAGATGGTTTATACCCATCAACTAGAGATGTTCAAATATTCTACCCATGCACAGAAAGGCAGATACAACTGAGGATGCAGTTAGGTGAACACTACTGAGTGATCTACAGTACATGTCCTTAAATCAAGCAGACAGTTAGCATAGTTAGGGAACATTGATTGTGTTTCACTTGTTACACGCCTTTCAACAGAAACACCACACACCACTAGTGCACGCGAAGAGATATCTTTACACTTTTGTATCTCTAAGAAGATCATAGAAGATCAAAAGCTGCATTAAACAAATATGCACGTGAAGAACACAAACACTTCAAAAGGATGACATCGTAAGTGATTTGCCAGGAGAATCCATGACCTGTATTCTATATTTACACAGATAAATCGTTCCAGTACAAAAAGCACAAGCAATAATGTTGCTAAGGTCATCCACTCAATTCAAGGAACTGGGAGAAAAAATGCATTTAGGGATTCAAAAAGGGGACATCTTGGTACAGAGCTGTGCTTGTCTAAAACAAACTGCACCACTGTTTTACTCCTTGGATATTTCAAGAACCAGCTGGTTGAGATTATCAGATAAATAATATGGTCTACTAACAGGCCTCCTCTCATTTTGCAATACTTCTTACGTTCTCAGGATTAAAAGATTACAAGGTTTAATCCTTTACTGTCTGCGAGTTACATGCAGGATATTTAGAATAACTTTTATGGTGTCATCAAGTGTGTCTTTTCACTGTTCAAAAATGACAGATTCAGGGAAGAGAAGACCAATCAGAATCTGTATTGCACTGAAGGAAACAATGTAAAAGAGAATCTGCATTACATAAGACCTTCAAAACATTCAGGACATACTGGCTGAATAAAATATATTCAAGCTTGCTGATTTATTTAAATCTCCTACACAGCTCTCACTGGCAAAGTCTGTGCTTCATATTTTAAAGCACTACTTTTAGACTTCCACCTTTTAGTTTTAGTCAGTGAAAAAAACAGTGGCAGGAATGGAAGGGGGGGGTGATTAATGACTGCTCATATTCTGCTAAGAATATTTAATCTGTATGTTTTCATGCATCACATTGGTGTTATTAATTTTGAAAGTTGAAGAACAATTCAAACTTCTGTGCGCTCAAGTTATACTGTAGCTGTGCTACTGATGCCCTGACTTCTTTAAAGAAACAGTGAGATGACATCCTCACATCATTACAGAAAAACTAACTGAACTAGATAAGCTGTTTAGACAATGTCGTGTTCTAAGTGTTCCAATATTAAACAAGGAAATAAAACAAATGTTTTAGCAGAACCCCTTTAGATTCTAAAGATGGCATTTCAATTGTAGTATTTTGTATGCAGCAGAAATGTATGTGTCAAAAATGAGCCTGAAATTGTGAAGACAAAATGCATAAATAAGTTTGGTAGCAGAAGTAGGATGTCTTTTGGACTTGCATCCTGGTTTTTCTGAAGCTAACCTCTATCACAGGATATCATTAGTGCAGCACTGATGGTCCATTAAGGCACCCAATCATCACAGCCTTGGTCACAATATGCTTGCTCCTTTCTGCATGTAATGCTGTATTGCATTCCTAATTACGCGGATGCAAGTCTCCATTTAAGTCACGCAGTCCATTTCCAAGGACTTTGGTACACATCAGCAGCAAAATGTTCCTCTCCATTCATTCAAATTAGAGGACACATAACAGATGGTAGCTCAAATACAGGAAATGCACATTGACTGGCCACTGCACTGTACTGCACGTACATACTGTACATATTGAGAGTCAGACATAGACCTTAATCTGAACTGTCGGGATTCCTGTTGTAGTAAATGTATTTTAACTTACCGAAAAAGGACACTGTACAGTAACAGACCCCCAGGACTCTCAGAGCTGCCCTGCGCTGGCGGTCTCTGATCTTCCAGAATCACAGCTACGCTGCTCCTTTCCCCAGCAGCAGGCAACAGACTGCTGCAGCTCACAGCGGCTGCTCAGAAGAGAACTGGGAGAGTCCTAGCCACGCTCCCATGGGATCTAATTTTTTCCTTTGTTTCATTCTGACCCATACTGGGTCTTCAATTTTACTAAAATGAGCCATTAACCTCTTAAGAAAGCAGGGTCAGAACTTCGCACACTGTAAGCACCTGCAAAATCCCCCTTTAAGAGCAACACAAAACATTTCAGGAAAAGTTCTTCCCAGCCCATTAACAACACCCAGTTACAGCTGGAAATTCAATACTTAATAGTATGCAGAGCCACAGTACATCTGTGTTCATGATGAAGAGGCATTTTCTCTCTCCAAATTCAAACTTTGTTACAGATTGCATGTGAAATGAAAATAGTTGTGTAAAGACTGAATCGGATTAATTTTCCTCCCTTTTTACCTCATTTCTGTATCACAAGGAAGAACACTGTAGGATGAGTAACAATATCCAGCAGTTGTACAGACACACTGCTGACTTGTATCCAAAGCCACTTGCATTTGCACCCATTTATACTGCTGGAGAAGCTGTGTTATACTTCAGATGCTCAAGGGTAAGGGTTCAACAGTGGTCTCGATCCTGGGATCTGAACCTGCATCCTTCTAGTTACAAATCCAGAACGCTAACCACTGCTCCACACTGCTGCCTTAGTATCCTTTGTCTCCAGATGCACAAATTCCATAGCCATAATAAACTGTCCTCTCATAAATCGATTTACCACGTCTACACAATTCCACATTAATTGCAGGGATAACAACACTTGAACTTACAAATTAGAGCAAGTCAAGCAATGTACAATTATGACAGCATACATAATTACAAAAACAATAGCAAACAAACCCGGAGTGCGGATGCAGAGCAGTAACGTGGACACCCTACAGGTATGTGTTCCCCGATTCCAGTGAGTAACACCACCACAGTGATGACTAAAAAATTCTCGAGATTGGGCAGGTCTCATTTCCCTGGGCCGTCTCATTCCCCAGCTTAGGAGCGAGGTGGGATAATCAACAGGCTTTGGGAACGGGACTACAAGACTCGGAGCACATATAAAATATAAAGAGGAAGGGACTGTCACAAATGTTTAAATTCATAAGAATAATGCAACCCATCATTAATACCTGCCTATTTAAACCAGTGTTTATACGCTTACAGGGTCTCACGAATATCTGTCCAG